ACTCTTTGAATGGTGCCAAAATAACTTGAAAAAGTGAGATTCTAGTCTGTCCAAAGAGCTCATACACAATGCCTACCGTCCATCTGAAGGTTTGAACCATCAAATTCCAAAGACAAACCTAACCCGCTCTGGTCTCCAATGTAGACAATATTGAAGTGACCTCAACTGTTGTTTGTTTAATTTTTTGTGTGGTATGGTATATTGTAAGTATTTAGTTGTAATGTTATCTTGTAGAATTTTATTAGGATTGATTGACAAAAAAATGTAACTGAAAACTGAGAACTGAAAGTGAACTCTTTCAATATCTACTTTAAGACTCACTTTTCAAACTCCCCTCCCACCGTCACTTCGAAGCATTGCATTTCAGAACTTTGACAGTGGCTTATTTTGTGCCGTATCCTTCTGTCTCATTTTTGCTTGATTGCCTCTTGACAAAGTAAAAATGGGAAAACGTTCTTATATATTTTTTGCTGTTACTATGCAAGTATATTAAAGCAAAAGGAGGAAAGCTTAACATTTTTCTTTTCTATTGCAGATAACATGTTTGTTGCAGTCATGCTTTATATTATTTTCATTGTTTGCCAAACATATGGAGGTTCTCTACTCCTCAGTTTTATAAAGAGTTATTGGTATGCATGAGCGGCTTTGTTTTGCTTTCTAATATTTTCGTACAGTAATGTACTGAACAGTAACGCGACATATTTGCTATATGATGCTATAGCAAATCTTATCTTTTTTAATTAGAAAAATCTTATATTTCTACGTTTGTTTAGCCTGCGCCCCAGTCCGCAAGTGCTGCCACATTTATGGACTGTGCAATATTGATAAATATTCTGTCCAGAGAGAGGGCTGGGTCTAGTTTTTTGTCTAGTTTAGTTTAGTTTAGTCTTGTTTATGGAAATAATTTATGCAATGACACCTTTGAAGTTTTGCATGAAAAATCTTTGAAGAAATATTCACTGAAACCACGCAGGACGTAGATAAGATGATGCGCGGAGAGTTGAAAGTTTTACAAGGTCGGAACCGTTGACAATTTCAGCTAATTGCAAAATTTTGAAGGGTTGCATAAATTAACCCCAAGATCCGGATATCTATCAATATTGCACAGTCCATAAATGTAGCAGATTTTGTGGACTGGGGCACAGGCTACGTTTGTTTGTCTTCTTAGTGTTTTTTAATTTCTCTATGATCATTCCACATTTTGTTGCAGTATTTACATGATGTTTTAGCATTTACTTTTTTTTTATTAATACCTATGTTGTCATCCTATTTAATGTCGCTACCGAATGCCTTGCTTACAATGTGAATTCCAGTTATGTTTATATAGTTCTTCCAAGAACTAGAAATTTATCTACTTGTAACGAATGTTATTTGAATTAATTGATACCAAGTCGATTTATCGAAGCACGTATGAAACATTTTATTTGTCCTAAATTTTCAAAACTGTCATTCTTTTGGCTAGTGCCTAATTTCTACTGCCTAATAGCTAGTTTTTATCCATCCTCATTATGAAATCCAATTCAAAATGTCGACCTATCCAGTTACTTTTCAGGCCATATTTTCTCAGTATGTCTGGTGTCTGGCTTGCCCAAAGACTGCTTGTTAAATATGTCTTCATTCAAAAGAAGGATGGGCTTGTGGCAATCATCCGGAGGTAATTTTCAGCCAAAATGTCACGTCACTTTTCTGATTGATAGTTCGAGTTTTTTGTTCCCTTGCCTTCATTGAGTTCGGGCTTCCCTGAAAATGTGTATGGGATTCATATTAGGGCGTTACTGTCCCCTGGATTTAAACGAATTGAAAGATTCAATTCTATCTTGAATATGTTGCGATACTAAATTCAAAACTGATACACAACACATGGCGTATTCTACTATGCATAACAACCCAATACCAAATCGAAACGTTTTTCTCTTTCAATTAAATCTCTACGCCTTCAAGATATTACATTTTTGCATTTGGTAACAAAAGACATATTACACATGCAACCACATCTCCTTTTAATTTACTTTAAGGTATTTTTTCCTTTTCATTAATTGTATCTGTGTGCTAAATAAAATGAATTCTTTTCAGGCGAGGTTTCAACCACCTGTCCTACTTTTTCTTCTTTTTCAATTCACTTCTTGGTGGAGTATCGTATATTCTTCGCCTCGTAAGCGGTCTCCTGCTGGGTTTGTTATTTCTGGAGAGAACACAGAAAAGCTTGATTCCACGTTCCTTTGAGCGCTTTGACCGAGGTAAACTACAACTACTTTAAAATGGCTTTGAAAAATTGAAACATTTTATAACATATGTCATATGAAAAACTTTTAGCCAATATTTTATAAAATGTTTGCTTTTTTCAAAGCCATTTTCAAGTTCTGTACCGCCAAAAAACTGTTTACATTTTCTTCACACTTTTTGTGTATGATAACTTCGAATAGCCTTCTTTCTTTTTAAAACGTTCAATTATAAAAACGAGGTATTTAAAAGTGAAATTAGAATATGAATTTTAGCGGCTCCATACTCTCTTTTTTTAAGAGCCAGATTGTTTTGGATTCGGTGTACTTTTTTTTGGATGATTTGAGGCTCGGGTGTTCTTAATGTTGCTCTCATTTCAATATTGGTTTGTCTGAAACTACTAACTGTCAATTATTTCAATGCCCTTAAACAACAGTTTTGCGTGACATTTTTAGTAGCTCGGTTGGCAAGCCAGGGACCGCGGGGGGGGGGGGCACTCGCACCGAAGTATGAAGCTGCTGAACTTAGTTGCTTTTCTTATAATGTTGTGGTTCTCTGCATCCAGTGATGTAAATTTTCTTGTTTAGGTTACGTTTCTTATCTGTCATATCTACACGTGGAACATACATTTGGCAATCCTGTGTTGGTGGTCTTTGTAAAACTTCTGAATCTGTGTACACAGTGCAGCGAATTTGGTAAAATACAAGATGGTAAGAGTTATTAACTATCTCAAATTTATGTTAGGCTTTGTAATTTTTTCAATTTCACTTAGTTGTGATTAAATTCAATTTTATTACCCTTTATTGAAAAACTACAGAGTTCTGTAATTTAAGAAATAATTAAACACATTAGAAATTTTCAGGAACTACAGGAACTAAAGATACAAAAATGCATTTTGTAGCATTGTATATTTCCTGACCCTTTTCAAAAGAAAGAGTTTTTTATATGTCTATATGTAATTACAGAAGAGTGTATTTTGTATTTAAAAACATTGTTATTTCTGTAAGCGAAGAGCATGAAATTCCTGTCACTTACAGTACGGTCCATAGGACTTTATGTAATTCTTTCTAGTAGAGTGTTTTCTAAAAAAACGAAATACTGCATATCAGATTTGTGGGAATGTGTTGAAGGAACAATTCAGTGCCTACTCTAAGCCTTTTTTCCAAGACCACTGATTTTGCTAAATGGAAAGAAAGGGGGTCCATGTGTACACATTTGGCAAAAATGTGGCATACCACGTTCTTCAAATTGCTGGAAACTGAAACCACACCCAATTTTTTTCATTAAACAAAACTTTATTATGTTTCTTATTATGTTATTTTTGCATATGTGACATTTTAAATAAGTATGATAGAATGAGAGGCAAAAGTAGGCAGAATCAATCAAACTCAAAACAAGTTAAGTTATTACAATGTCACATGCCTTTTTTATTTTTCGCTGAATATTCATTTATTTAGAATGGTTACTCTAGTTATTCTAAATAAGTGAATATTGGCAGAATATATTCGATACCTGGACACTACACCCTTGATAAGCACCTTGACAGGAAGTCGCCCTGTCTCGAGATATGTAACAGTGTCTCAGATCAGATCATCCAAGTGAGTCGTAAGACGTTTGCAGCACTACTGTGCAGTACAGTAGGTAGTATGCCAGAAACAACTCAATACATTTTTTTCATTTAGCTAATGTTGTCGAAAACGTGACTGGCAGAACAACAGCTTCGTTGGAAAGATATCACTTGGCAAGAAATAGATGGTTCCTTGCGTACACATTGATTAAAAACCCAGCCTTGATTACATTCAGAGGTAAAAACTTGCCTGTGGCTACAGCATCAGAGAAAGATGTAGTCTTGAATATTTAGGCGTCTTGCGATGATGTCTTGGTATCCTGAGAGTGTTACGACTCTGCAGAGCGGCTCTGCTGACTTCGAAGGAAGGGTTTTGAGTACTTTTATCTATATTTTCAAAGTAACAATATGCTGTTTTTCGTAGTAGCCTAGACAAAGGTAGGTTCATAGCGTATCTGTTTCAGATCACCCATAAGGGTGTAGATGAAAGAAATTTTGATGCAAGCATGTAGAAGTTTGTATTTTTCTTAGTAATCTGGTAAATATTGTCTTCCAAGACAACAAAGCAGCTGTTGAGTAAAGTTTTTTGATAAGTCCTATGTTTTCCTGCGTGATTTCCATTCTGCAGCTTTTGGTAGGTGGATGGCTTCGTGATTCCCAACAAAGCGAAAGGTGTGCATTTTCGCTATTGCACCTATACTCGATCATAAACACTGAAGTGAATTGACTTGGTTTTACTTTCAAGGCACTTAACTTTTTCACCAATTCTGTTTTTTCGCCTAACTTTTCAGGAAACGTGCATAATTCCAATGTAGCTCAAGGTGTGTGTGCCAAATTGTGTTTCGCGGGGGTTCAGTGCTTAATTAACAAAGGAACAATGGGGCACTCTCACAAATTCTCACAAAATAATTGCAAAGTAAGGGAAGGCTTACTTCTTAGCATTATGAAGGGGGCTCCTTGGCCACCCTTGGGTTATGCACCATTAGTACTTTAGTATTGTGTTCCTCCCTACATCCTCGACCATAGACTGACGAAATGTAATTGTTTTATCAGAAGACTTTTATCAGAAAATCATGCATCAAAAGCACAAGGTTTATATTATATACATCCTTCTTTTACCATCGCTAATGGAATGGGTTAGCCTTCAGTACTTATTATGCACATCAAACTTGAGGTAAACAAAATATCTCGAGTTCGCACTTTGCAATAACGGGACATTGGTAGTTGTGGGAACCCTGCGCAGGAGCCATATTTCCAGTAGTCATTTATTTGCTATTGTGATTGATTTTGTTTGCGTGTTTAGAGTCACATGCTTTTGCTTATTATATAGGAGCTGTAAACATATTGATTTATTGAGTAATTTACCTTTGTGTTATAGAATTGATGAGTAACTTGAGTTAGAGGAGTTGCCACGAGTTTTTTTTGGGAGAGTAGGAGCGTAGTCTCTGATAAAATTGATTATGGAAAATTGATACAACTGTGTTTTTTTGCGTTCACTTTGCGATTTGATAAAAGCAGCCTTTCGAATCAGTTCAAGTCAATACAGTAGTAGCCGTAGTTTGGGGTTTTCGCCAAAGAACCCGAAAGGGCCCCATAAAACACTAGTTACAACCTATGAGCTACTGACACTATAAAAACCTACCTGAAAGTATAAAAACAAAACTATCTGCTGTACACTTGGAAGGATGAAAATTTCAGGGTCAAAACTTGTCTTGACATATAGCCATATGAGCACAGAATCGTTTAAGCCACTGTAATTTGGCATTGGTTCTGAAACAACCTGGCTCGGGGATTAATTTAAGGGTTTTTTGGACGAGCACGGCTAAGCTAAATGTGACGACAAGTCCGTTTATAACCCTACAAAATACACAAGGAATTTTGCATGACCGTCTAGCAAACTGCCTAACCGAAATTTTTAAAGGTTAAATCATGAAAGTGAAGGCCACTGATAATTTTAAGCCTTGGGTACATTCCAGCAAATGAGTGTAAGTAATGTTTCAGAAAACGTGAAAAATGCACGGTCAGCAAAATTTTGACCTTCAAATCTGATTATTTTATCAGAAAGATCTTGCAAAACTGAGTAAAAAATACCAAAACATCATTGTTTCTTGGCGTAAATTGACGTGCTGAATAGAATAAGTTCAACTCCAACTTTAAAACATCACAAAAAGCTATTTTTAGACTTCGGTACTTGTGCCCAGGCTGTTGGGTATCGCCGTATAACCTTGCAACTATGCACGTTGTTCAACTGAAAATTTGAGTGTATTCGCCGAAAAAGCAACCACACATCGCTAAAAATCCTCATTTTTGAGATAAAACGTTGTTCAAAATTGCATTTTGCAGAAGCTCAGTCTCAGCTTGTTCTTAATTTGTTCTCAAATTTTGACCAATTTTGAGGCTCGTGTTCTTATAAAATTGTTCTTATAAAAAGAAAAAAGTGTATTTGAGATTTTTCCTTCCATGTTTCGTTGTTTTTTGGCCGTTTCTGCAACAGTATGAAATATATCAGTGATCATAACCACGAAACATTTAGTGTTCGAGCTGCATGAAAAGTTGAGGTACGCCATTAAAACGTATTTTGGTCGACGAGGCACCTCCGTGTTTAATTAATTAGGCACGTTAAATTAATGACTGACCTGGTTGAAATATAGCAGTTACTGACTGACCGAAGTCTCAGGAAATCTGTAACAGATTTGACTGTTTATGCAGATCACTGAGTACTTCACTGAGATATCTTACCAGCCGAAAAATCTCCCCCCCCCCTCACTCGAATAAGCCTGGCTCCTCGAATTTTAAATATTTGATAAGCCACCATGTTCAAGCAAGCCCAAATCTGATAGTCATTTTTTAAAAATAGGTTATTTTAGAAAGGAATATAATATTCAAGGAAAAATGAAAATAAAGTATTTTAATATCGATGAATGTTTATAATTTTCCTCTTGTGAGCACGGACTTGCAAAAGTGTTTATCTAAAAGCGAGCTTGAAATATTTGAAACTTGGATATTCAAATGTCGATATAAGTGCCTTCTCAATTTAGTGCTTCAAATTATTAAGCCCCCATTCGAGGATCATAAGTCATAACCACTGATCCATTGGTCATAAGTTCTAAAAATAGATATTTGGGTTGAGTGGTGGTTGTTGTCGAATTTACGTGTTAGTTTCTGGACAAGGAAAAAAGATGGCTGCCAACAATGACATGCAAGTTACGTCTGCCGAATTGAAAGACAATTTTATGCGTTTTGCAAACTCAGCATTACGGACAAGTAAAACTGCTTTCAATAGAGCAAGACAGGTATAATCTTTACAATGTTCTTCAACCATAACGTTGTTTAAAGCATCGTTTTAAGATGTTGATGGGCGTTCTTTAGGCCGCTTTACGGCGCTCCCTTCATGTCACCTGATTATTCGTAAAACATTGCCACAATTCAACATTATTTAAAATGATTTTAAATGCTAGTTTTGTAAATGCCTGCGATCAATCGTTTCGAAATGGTGATAGAATCGTCTATCCAATCAGTTTCAGGAAATGCAGCATATCTGAAAATGTTGTTATTTCCCCAAAAAATGTTGTTATTTCCCCAAAAAATGTTGTTATTTTCCCAAAAAATGTTGCTAAAAATAAACAAATGCCATTATGACTCTCAAAGTATAAATCAAAACTTTTATTGCTTTTTCAACCAAACACACTTCAGATATGAACACAAAAACACGAAGTTTAAAACTTGCATACAGTGGTGGCCCTAATAATTTAGGGCCCCTAAAGAGGGGGCAGAGAGAGTGGCCTGTCACCCCCTCTGTTGGAGGGGGTTAGCCTCTGTCGGGAAGAACTGTTAAGAATTTTTTAGGTTTTCTTGGAGCAACATTTTGATGTGCTTATAATCAAAAATTTTTAAAATTAGTTTCCATGCAGTTTATCCCATTGAGTTAAACGTATTAAGAGCTCACTTGTGTCTTCTTTCTTACATTACTTTTGTAAGCTGTTTCAGGTACCAGCTGTTTATTGAAAGTGACATTTAGTAAACTATTTCACAATGCTTGCAACTTCTTTGTGCTTGTTGGATAAAAGATTTGGACAGGTCAATTTCTTTAAGGCATTAGCTATAGGCTTCCCTGAAAGGACGTTGCTAAAATGAGGAACAGGCGGAACAACCTAGTAACAAGCGGAACAACCCAGTAACAACCCAGTAACAAGCTGAACAACCCAGGAACAAGCAGAACAACCCAGTAACAAGGGGAAATGTGAATTAATTGTTTAGTAAAAAACACATGAGGGCGTTTATAATCCAACTCTCTGAAGTTCTTGTGGGATAGAACTATCAAGAGGCCGTCAATCATGTCTTCGTCTGTTTCGGAGGCTTTGTGATTTTGCCAACGGACAGAGAGAATCTATCGACCCCGGATCGGGACGAAAAATAAATAGTAAAGCATGCCTAAAGGGGTATGGGGAATGCTCCCCCAGAAATTTTTGAAAATGGTGGCTGCTCTGGTGGCTATTTTGGTTGCTAAAGTAGCTATGCTGGGTAAACTGCTCTGGCGGCAGTGGCTAAGATAGGGGGAATCAGAGGGGGGCAACAAAACCCTGTAGAGCTAGACCGAGGGACAATTCACTCTTAAAAATTGCGTACAAGATTTTACCAAAACAAAAGGATTTCTAGGGATTTTCAGATAAAACAATAGGATTTTCATAAAAGGTGTACAAGATTTTCTTGGAGTGATTTGCCCCTCGAGCTAGACTCCTATTTTGTCGGAAAACCTCTGGTCTTCTGGAAATTTTCTATGTTTATCTACTTGCTATGTTTTATAGGAAAGAATTTAAAGCTAAATAAAAATAAGAATATCTGAATATGTCAAAATATTTATTTATTTCAGTTCTGATGTCGTTATATTTTGTGTACTTAGATATGGTTGTATTTAGAGTGTATTATGGCTCTTCAACTAAGTGTATTTAGATAAATCAATCTTTTTATGATGATGATGGAAACGCCAAACATTGGTTGCGTGTTTGTCACCTTGCCATCCAAATTTCATGATATTGCGCCATTCAATCGCCTGGAGAGAAAAATGACATTGATGTGCCTACAAGAAAAATCATGCCCTGTCGTGGGATAAAAGTCGGAAAATCCAGGAACCAGGAAACTGATGGTTTGCCTAGAATCATTTTTACTGAGGCGGAAAGTTAACCTCTTCTTTAATCCAAATTATAAGTTGTAAGAGGTTGCCCATTGTATTCCTTCCCATGCAGTACATTGTTATAAAGGAAACATACTGCAGTAAGACAATTATTGGTGGGGCTTCAGAAACCCCCCCAGCCCTCCGGCTCTGAGGGGCCTGAAAAATGTGATTGCAACAGGGCTACATGTACAGATTTACACTATGGCATGCACATCCATTTGCAACACTGTGTCTGTTGTGATCGAATTTAGTTAACAAATTAAATGTTTTCCATTTTCATAGACTTCAAGAAATTTCATTTTTCTGCATTATGGTGTTAAGATATCAGTTATGCTCAAATTATATTAAACAGCAAACAGAAATTATATTAATAGCTAAGAGACAGTGGCGTCGAGTCGATAAGAAAATTCACAGGAGAGGTGAGAAACTTTCCGACAAAAATCTAACAAGCATTTATATTTTTTATAAATTGTAACAAAATATAACAACATCAGAACTGAAATAAATATTTTGACATATACCCCTTTAGGCATGCTTTAATATTTATTTTTCGTCCCGATCCGGGGTCGATAGATTCTCTCTGTCTGTTGGCAAAATCACAAAGCCTCCGAAACAGACGAAGACATGATTGACGGACTCTTGATAGTTTTAGCCCACACGAACTTCAGAGAGTTGGATTATAAACGCCCCCATGTGTTATTTACTAAACAATTAATTCACATTCCCGCTTGTTTCTGGGTTGTTCTGCTTGTTCCTTGGTTGTTCCGCTTGTTACTGGGTTGTTACTGGGTTGTTCTGCTTGTTACTAGGTTGTTCCGCTTGTTCCTCGTTTTAGCAACGTCGTTCCCTGAAAGCATTCTTTTGAGTTCGTAGAGCAGTCACTTGGAAATTTTGTCATATCATCAAAGAAGTGCAGTTTTCCACTTTGAGGATGATATGATGACAAAAATTGTGCTTTATGACACTATTTCCACTTTAAATTCACAATGCAAGTCTTTACCTGTATTTTTTTAAATTGAGAAGAACCAAGTGTGCACATTTTGTCTGGAAAATCTCTTTGAAATAAACAAAGCCAGTTGGCCTACTAGTGGCAGTATTTTAAAACAAATGGTAGGCCACTTTGAATGGCTAAAATGTAACATTTACACCAATCAAACACTAAAGAAATTGTAAGCAGATGTTGACCAGCAGAATCACATTTTATTTGTGCATTTTGTTTTGCAAATGCATACAACATTTGGTCAACATCTGAAAATTTTGAAGATATTTCCCAACCCCCATTAATCATGATTCATTTGTTTATTAATTAAAAATGTCAAAGCCCAATAAATGTAATTTCAGTTGCATATATTACAATGCAGGAGTTTATCATTTCTCTAGCTTACAGAAGAGAGATTTGGTAATGCAGAAAGAACAGAGCTAGATGCACAGTTTGAGTACCTGTGCAAGCGAGCAGACACAACAAAGCAGGCAACTGAGAAGCTTGTTGCAAATACAGCTGCCCTGTTAAAGCCTAACCCAGGTGTGTATTTTGAATTATGTTGCTCCTAGACTTATCTCTATTTTTCTTTATTCTGTTTTTGTTTTGTTTTCTGTTTTTCTACAAAGTAAAATTGAAATTCAGTCATATATGATCAACCATAATATGGATCTGTCAAATGGACTGCAAATGATCAATGCAGTAGTAAAATTTTGATCCCCAGTATAACATTGCAAGCCTAAAGCCTGGTTCATAGTTTTGAACTTATTAGCTTACGCTAAATTCTGCACAAGGGTAAGCTTTGAAGCATACGCTTTTTCATCTTGCATATCCAAAAAGCGTGAACACGTACGTTTTCCGCATGTCCATACGGGAAGCTTGAAACGATACGCCATAAGCTTTTTCGGTTCATAGTTTCCAGACATGCCGTCGAGGAATGTTCCTCTTGCCCTTCTACTTGTAGGGAGAAAAAATAAAAAGAACAGCAAACATGCTGGTATATTCTACTTAAAAATACTTTACGAACCGTTTGCGGGGATCGTGCCGTTATTGTCAACGATTCGCGTTTGATGTCAATGATTCCGGTATAAAAAGCCATTTTTCTTCCTCCTGTCCAATAATTTAATATTTTTCCCGATTTCTTACCCTGGGTTCCAGACTGATGGTCCTCTAGCAAGGAATCATACATGTGGGGGTATTTGTGTATCTCTTCACAAAGTTTTCTTTCAAAATCGGCCATTGCTAAGAAATTTTCCGTACGGAAGGCAAAAAAAGTTGAATATTTCTCAACTCGATAAGTTCAAGGCATACGGGTTTGCAGAAAACAGAATAAACTTCTGTATGAAAAACCTAGAAACCAAGGCTGGTTTTTGGAAATTTGTGCTGACTTTTCAGTTTAACAATGAGATTTTTCAAAAGGGATGTCATTTTCTTTTAGTCGCATGAGCTTAAAAATCATTTCTTTATACTTGAACTTATCTTAACACCTAAAAAAGCCAGAAAAAATGAATGCCATCCACATTCAAAATATGGCCCTAACACAAGCCTTTATGATGACTAAAAGATTATAATTAGCTCTCTAAGAGTTAATATATAACCAAAACCAACTAATGATGCAGGTTTCTTTATTGTAACATATAGATTCCACTAACAACTATCTTCAAACAGATTCTTTAATTATTTTTTATGACAAACACAAATTTTCCTCTTTTATTTTATTTTATTCTATTTTATTTTATTTTAAGGGCTTCTCTAATATGTCAGACTTCATTACTAAATCTGTTCAGATTATTATACTTTCAAACATTTATCGATAACGGGATAAACAGGGATAGACTTCGATTTAACTTCAAGCAACAACAAGTTCAATAAACCATGCCTATGTAAATCAAGACAGCACTGGAGCTTTGCCTGTACAATACATATTTTCAAAGGGAGTTTTAATGTGCCTGTTAAGATTTTATTCATGCCAAGGCCTGGTTTCAAGCTTATTATCAAAGGCCTAAGTACATCATTTATCTCATGGTGTTTTTCCAATACGAATCAAACTCTTTTGTTAATGAAAGCTGATTCATTGTTTTCAAATGATGCTGATGCAGGTGCAAGACTTGAAGACTTTGTTTTCGAGAAACTCGACAAACAGTCTCCATTGAGGCCAACAAATTCATTTCTTCTTGGCCAGTCAATGTCATCTGCAGGAAGAGAGATTGGCGCTGATAGTGATTATGGTAAGACAAACTTTTTTCTGTAGTTGTTTCTGTGAAATCTATTAGCCTCTTGCTCCTGCCTGGCAAAGTTAGTATTCTAGATATAATTGCTGTCAGGGGCAAAACTAACAAAAAATTTTTGGAGGGGTATAAAATTTTGCCAACAAAAAGACATGCCTTACTCTTTAAGGGTATGGTCAACAGATAAGTACTTTTTGCTGCTATTTTGCATTTCTAAATCAATGTTAATACTTAAGTGCCATACTACTTTAGTGAAAGTTCAACTACTACAGAAATGTTAATACCTTACAATTGTTGCAAAAAGTTTACAAGAGGAGAAAACAATTTCTTCTTTTGCCCGGCAAAAATCCTTAATGTGCTGCAGGACAGAGTGTAAAGGGGAGCACCAACCCCTCAAATCCTCCTCTGACAGCACCCCTGATTGCTTCTCTCCTCGCACTGTTCCATATCTTAGCAGTCATTTCTTTTCTTCTTTTTATTGCCTATCCCTTCACTTTTGTACATTTTCTTTATCTTGTCTCGTGACTATTCTTCTGAATTCATCATAAGATCATTTTCATATCCCCTTTCTTCTTTTCCTTGCAACTTTAATTTCAAACCAATTAGATTTCTCCATTTGAAAGCATTCATAGCATCATTTATACTCTAATTCTATTTAGGAAATTCCCTTAATAAAACTGGAACAGCACTAAAAAAGATCGGAAATGCAGAAAAGGACTTTATGCAGAAGACAATCTCACATTACATTCATCCACTGAAAACATTTCTTGATAATGACATGAAAACTCTTGCAGTGAGTAGATTTATATTTTGTTTGAAGGCTCATTGGAGAATTGCTACTGCTGCATGGTAATATGTCTCTAAATGCATTTTCAAGTTTGTTTCAGAAAACAGACAATAGAAAACAGAGAACAGAAAAAGAACCTGCATCAGTTATGCTTTATACAACTCATACATTAAAAAGTTATTTTTGATAAAGTTCCATTTCACTATTGCAATTGTTAATTTTGAGAGCATATGATTTGACACACACAGGAAAGTATATATATAGGAAATGTGTCAAATTGCATAAATTCTACCAGAACTAAAAACATTTCAATTCAGTACAAGAAATGTGCAACAACTGGCCTCTGGAACCTAAGTTAACAATTTTTATCTGTTTAGGTTTTTATGTAATGGAAATTATTCAAGAATAGGCAAAAAAAATCAGTTGAAAAAAGACAAACAAGGGTACAAGGCCTATCTTTGAAATATAAGAACAATAGAAACATAAAAACGCAACTGTTGTTTGAAGGTAAACAAAAATCCTGACTCCTTGTTGTGAAATTGTGTCGACACCCAACTGTTCATCTACCATGAAGTGTTTTCCAATCACTGCCATGTTATGCTGCCTTTCCTTGACCGTTCAATTTGTAAACAAAACTCATATAAATTGTAAAACCGAACAAAAATTATATTTTGCCGGAGCTCAACATTTGTTTCAATTGTATGTGATACTCCTATCGGTATTTATCGTGTTTTTCATCAGCATTCCACCACTGAGTAATAACATAGTTAAAAAAAGAGTCTAAAATTTTTCTTTTGATTGCGAAAAACGTGGTAATTTGGAAAGTTTTGTATATTTTTATAGTTAATGGGTTACGTAAATTACAATTTTTCAATTATCATTTCAGAAAGAAAGACGAGCATTAGACATCGCCAGAATTGATCTTGATGCTGCAAGAAATAAAGTTAAGAGAGCACAATCACCAATAAGACTGAGAGAGGTAAAGCCATGCCTATTACTAAGTCGACTATTCGTGGGTATTTGTTTGACTGCTCAACATCCTTATGAGATAGTTATTATAGCGTAGCTATTTCATAGCTGCATGATTCATGAATCATTGATCAAGAATCATCAATCACCAATTAAGAAGAGAAAGTTTGTTGACTTTGGAAATTCGATAAACACGCAACCTATAATCGCCAAATATAATGATTCCCCTTTTATTACTTCAAAAAACCTATCAAACAAGTACATTCAAGCTCTCATATTGTGGTAATCGCTTGCATGAAATTTCATTAATTTTATCAAATAAAATGTGAGTGAATAGTTTTCAAATGTTTTAGATATAAAAGTTCACCTTGTATGTGCAATTTACATCTAAATGTTCAGCCTTATTGTTTTGACTATCTTAAATGTATTTGTGTTTAGTCGGCTTTTGTATCCATATTTTCTTTGCTATTTATTTAGGCCGAAGGACAATTCCGAGTGGCACAAGCAGATTTTGACAGGCAATATGAAATAACAAAGCTTCTTCTTGATGGCATCAATTCCACTCATGTATGTTCAATACCAACGGACTATAATTCATAGTTTATTATCATGATTTTTAACGAAGTTGAGAAAATTATCATGAAAACTTACGGATGATGTTTACGGGTAGCGCTGCAAAGAAACGATATTTAAAAAAGTCTGTGTGTCCTTATTTTTCGGGGTATTTTAGCTTTTCATTTTTATTGGTATGGTGTAATAAAATTGTTTAGTGTCGCAAACAGATTTTATGGATCATTTTCTATAGCTGTTTTGTTTTTTGTCATTCAATCTTCTAATCACTCAGCCCCAGTTAGTTCATGCTTTCTTTCACGTGAAAATGATTGCCTCTGCTATCTGGAAGGTCAGTTCTGAAATTTGTTTACAATACGAACAAGACTTTGATTACGAAAGCACAGTTTCACGAAATGCAGTGTTAATTGGTACATTAAGGATAATTGTTTAAATATTTTGATGCCTTAAATGAACTCAAATTTTCAATTTGTAGTCATTTTAAGTTCTCTTTTCCAAATTGAATTTTAATTTTCCACCGTTTAATTACAGAGCAACCACCTGAGAAACCTTGGCTCCTTCGTTGAGGCCCTTGGCATGTATCATGCTCAGTGTCAGCAATATGTGTCAGAATTACAAAAGGACCTGCAAGGGTATGTTAGCTTTTTATACCCCTCATAGACCAACTCATTTATTTGATATGTTTTTGTCACATTCTTGGAATGTTATTTCATTTGAATAGCTATTCGTAATTCTACTTCATACTGATTTTGATGATTATGACACTCTGAGGGTGATCAGAAATTCTTCCTTAGAGCGCCCCTGTGGGCTGAAAAACCAAGACGCCCCTCCCCCTTCTTAACGGATGATTTACATGTTCCAAAACATTTTAATGTACACGGTAAATTTCATATACAATACTTTTCTGATTTGAAAAAAAATTACATAGACACAAGCTCTTTGATGTAGATAAGAAGTCGATCTGATAGATACTTGAACCTCTGATATATTGCAACCTAGGCAGTATATGTAATAGCTTATTCATCTGAAACTTAGAGGGTCTCTCTAACCAAAAATAATCTAAATTGCTTTAAATGTTTTTATGCGTTCAATATGTATGACAAAAATTCCAAGTATTTAAATAAGCAACCAATGTATTCCAAGTAAAGTTAGTATGCTGAATGTATGCCTTTTCCCAGTTTTAACTTCTAAAGACGAATTAATTTCGTGACAATCTACGATTCTCGTTCGCCCTGATTTGCTTGCTTACTTGCTTGCTTGACAAAAAAATGCACATTAAGTATCCTCAGAAATCAATAACCCCTTCTAAATTTCTAAAGAAAACATATATAGTTAATTAGAGATCTATCAGTTTGTTTTTATCATTTTTGCCTCGACTATAATCAGTTGAGCTGTATGCTAAAGAATTACTTTGGTTTACGCATGTTCTGGCTCTAACTGATTGGAAGTTTTTGTGCACCGTCACAAGTGATTGCAAACACACGAGGGCCTGAAACTGTACACTCTAAAATGCAAAAACTTGTATTCGAAATGCGACAACAATTGCAACTAATTAGACTGAATGTGTCAATATTGTGAATATCTGAAATAAGGATTGTTCACATCTGAAGGCATATTGATGCGAAATTAACTATGAAGGCTTATTTACGTCCAATTTTCACCAAAACGGAAATCTAAGTGATGGAAAGCAGCGCGTATAACTGAAAAACTATGCAAACTAAATGAGAATGGCAATTTCATGATCAACCGGTTTAGATCTCTCAAATTGGCCAAAAGCAATAATTTCAAACTTTGGCAGGAGAGACTCTGTAACTAAATATGGAAAACCCGATTGAACAAAGCTTTTGAGTAAAGCCCTCTTTTTTTGAACAATATTTTCAAACCAGTAAAAACCATATGGAATATTTTTTAAATAATATAACATAGCTCTACTACTTTCCTTATTGTATTAAGGCAGTATTAATATGCTTATCATATTGAAGGATAAATTCTTCAATCGTTTTTTAATACTAGAATATAGTAATGTCTGTCTCTGTTGAGATGCTACTTCGTGTTCTATTACTCCTGGCACTAATGCTAGGCTAAGGCTCAACAGTGATGTGTCTTTTTGTATCTCGTCTATTCAATTGAATTTTATTTGTTTCTTTTGCCAGCTTAACAAGAAGCGCTCCACCATCAGCTCCTCCACAAAGGCCAGAGGCTCCTCCGCTAAAACAGCCTGAAATGCAGCAGCCAACGCAGCGAAAAGCCAGAGTTCTTTATGACTACGACGCTGCGGATTTAACTGAGCTGTCTTTGCTAGCTGATGAGGTAATCATTTGTTTCCGCGAATTTCTTTTAATTTATCTTCAAGAGTAAACAGCTGTATACAGCGAACTCTGCGATTCTTTTTCTTTGTCCATATATGTCCATAAAATCCCAATTGAACAAACATTTTGAGCAAAGTCCTTTTCTTTAAACAATATCGTCAAACCAGATAAAGCTATATGGAATATTTTCGAATTGCATTTGTGGAAAAAGTGTTGGTCCATGGGAATTTTTTGGCTCCCAGAATTCTCAATAGGCTCAATTTATACATAACAGTTGTCTATGCTGCTAGTTTTTGGTACAGATAATGTTTGTCTAACACGGTCCGAGCAATTAAAAAAATCTCTTCCTCCCCTGTTGCTGTCAGCCAAATCTCTGCGAAAAAGCAACTGCCCTACATTTTAATACAAGTTTTATTCAATGTTTGGGGATATATAGGGGAATTTAATTGTTTTCAATTACAAATCTCGTTGAATATTCTTTATTGTATATACTTATTTCGGTTAACCAGCTTTCTCGAAATCAATTTTTAAATCTGAAAATTATAGGTAAATGAAAATATGGTGTAAAAAGCAAATTCTGAAACAGCAGTCTATTTCCATTATATCCAGTTGTGTCATGGATGTATTCTAAACACGTGTTTACTTTTCAGGTTGTCGTTGTGTACTCTGTTGAAGGGATGGATTCTGATTGGATGATGGCAGAGCGTGGATCGCAGAAAGGCAAAGTTCCTTTAACCTATCTTGAACTTATGTAAAAGTTCTTTGCTAGAATGGTACCAAGACATTCACAATATTACCTTGCTGTGCATCATTTCTGGTAAGTGCTGGACCAATGACAGCTGGATATGGTTGTTTTTCTTCTTGGGTCAACTACGATTTCGGAACCGAGAAGATATTTAATGCACTTAATAATTCACAATTCTAATTTTTTTCTTATTCAAAATAAATTGGTCGCTGATGGACAGTTCAGAAGCCTTTAGGACAGTATGACTGTCAAATATATTTCCCACATTTCAGTAGCTTATGTGGTGCTGTAATTTCAACCGTGAATTTATGTTTGAATCGTACATTCTTTGCAGGATGAAATCGCTCTTTCTTCTCGCACCCTCTGAGCTCAAAATATTGAATACAACCAATTTGTCATACCCAAAGATCTATCCCACAATGTGCCCGATTCAGAGCCGGATCTATTATTGTCCCACTCTGGTCAATTATTTTCAGAGCTTGGACCATTATTTCCTTCACTTTATATATTATTTCCCAGTTCGATCTTTCATTTTTAGCCGTTTTTAGTCTATTTTTACGAGCTTGTTCTATTGATCATTTATTCCAAAGCCTGGCCTTTTATTTTCATATCTTGGTCTTTTTTCCTCGGGCTTTGTCTGTTATTTTGCCAAGCCTGATCTATTGTATCCCGAGCCCGGTCTACTTTGAGGAGCCTGGTATATCAAACGTTTTCCGAGTTTAATTTTTATGCCTTCTCATTGTTTGTTATAGTCTTATTGCTACTTTTATTAACTCCTTGAAATCTTTCTAGTTAAAAACACCAAGTGACGTTTTACCATTAGGTCGAAAGCTCGATTGGTTTTATTATGAAACCGTGAGGTTCAAATAGTATTTACCATAACATTGTTGCCATTTACAATGCCTAGAGCTCTTTGTTGACGGACGAACGGACATGCCACTTTACTTCCTGCTCTTCTACGCAATAAAAGATTGAATTCTTAGAAATGTCTTAGTAAGGAAGATGCCATTGCTTATACTACCAAATCGGATAACCTTAAAGAAACAATACGGTTGATGTCCAATTTGTGTAATTTTGCATATTAAGCATGGAATATACTTGTGTCCATTTTAATATCAAAGCCTGTGTCCTTAAAAATGTTTCTTTTGAGAAAATAATTTTGCTCGATAATCCACCATATTTGGAGACATGCTGACTTTGAAGTCAGCAGTTTCTAGGGTCGAAAGACTTTACGCTCACCACGGGAAAGTTCCTTCGCAGTGACTGTCCCATCTAGGATAATGCAGAGATATTTCTTTGCCAGAGGACCTGTAAATTGAAATTGTTTTGTTAAGCTTTTTAGTGAATGCTAAGACGGCGTATTGTAATGTTCTTATGTGCTGGATTTGCATGTTGAAAAGCTGGCATCCTTACCCTGTATCCATGTAGGTATTGTCGAGTCAAACATTTGTGCCTTTGTCATTCTATAGCTTCTTGCATGTTCCCATTGCTGCATTTTTTCCTTCACCTTTTCGTAGTTGGCCTTCACCCGTGCTTGGACTTTCCAGTTATGCAAAGCTTCCCTGTTGTTACTCCATTCGTGTGCTCTGACTCGTCTGCCCACTAAAATGCAGTACAGTAGAATCCCGTTATAACGTACTCGGTTATTACGTACTTTCAGATAAAACGTACTGGTGTGCTTGGTCCCGGCAAAAGGCGTGCTTGGTTTTAATCAATTTTTACTTACCCTCGTTACAACGTACTTCGGATACAACGTACTTAATACGCTGGTCCCTTTAAGTACGTTATAACCGGATTATACTGTATTCAAATGTTTTCATTGCTTTTATTTATTTGTTCCAGATCTAAAAATATTTTATTTAGGACACTAGTGATTAATATAGTGCCAAAGGGTGTAAGAACATGCTGACTTACATAAGACCTCTGTGCATTTCAACTGCTTCCGTTGTACAGCAATTAACAGTGGATGTCTTCCCGATGGCAGACAATTTTTCACATCTACATTTGTTTGCAGCAGTCTTTCCAAGATATTCATATGCCCACGATGCGTTGCAACAAATATGGCCACGTAGATGTAGAACTTGTCCCACTCCGATAGTTTCCCGCGATTAAGCGGCAGCAGTTTCTCAAGCCCTGACATAATGAAAGAGTTTCATAAGAATTTGTCTTACCAGCAGCTAAGACAAACCGCTCAAGTACGACATCGACATGACATCGTGTGTCGCACCAGTAAAATTCTTACTGTGTTAATTCTTACTGCATTTTAACTGACTTAAAATCAATATACCTTTAGATCATCTTCATACGATATCAGATAGCTATGTGTTTATTTTAATCCTAGAGCATTAATGTCGTTAACAACGTTACTGGCAATAACGGTCACATCTTTTATGTACGTTTAAAAATCCACATAGCTCAACAATTACGATTCAAATGTTCTAAACAATCGTACTTTCCACGTTTCCTTTGCAACAAGCTTCTATGATTTCCTGCCATGGCTTGAATAATCGCAGGGACAACTTTGAATTTGGTAGTATGTGGAAACATTCCAAAGTTTGGCCGTCTACCATATCACACTGGTCCAAAAAGTACAGTCGCTGCAACGGCCTAAATATTACGATAACATTCTAACCTCTCAGGAATGAAGAGTTTTGAATCAATTGTCGGAAGAATATAGCAATTGAAATAAGTTCAGAAGGCTGGATGTATATTGTTAAGAAGCTAAATGGTATTTGATGAAACAGAGCTACATATGACATTACTGTATTAAGGTTGATGGAGCATATACGAAAATGAACAAACTGAGAGGTTGGAATCAATATACGTTAATATTCTTATCTAGATTGATTAAATGTCAGTGCGATAAAAGTGAGACATAATTTAACCTGAATACTTTGCAGTGATGGAATGGTACTGGATTTTGAAATGAAATCTGATGTAATCAACGTTTTTAATCGACTTTTCAGTTGTCATTTTAATATGCGCGTACACATCAACGGGTTTTGAAAGATAACTGTCTTTCGTTTACGAATCTCCCTATTTCCTCTTGATGCATAAAGCACCAGAAAGAACAGTAATATAACATACAATAATTTCTACTGTTATGACAATATGGATAGAGTGAATTCCTAAATTAAAACATTTACGTAGGTATGCCTGTAATTGCTTCCAATTTTTCCTTCAACTTGGTAACTGTTGTTGATGATGTTAAGTCGCTAACGGTGTAGTACTCATGTAAGTTCTTCACATGAACTCGTAGTTTGAAGTTCTTTGCTGATCCATAGAGTCTCCCTCTAGGTACAATGTTATATGAGAATATTTCATGTATCTTTGGGATGTTCACGTTTGTAGCCATGTTAACATTCCTCCTATCACACTGTTCCTTTCTGCTTTTATAAGTTAAAGACCACCTGATTATGACGTCATCTAATTTATCAATACAGTATTTTCCTCGTTTTGAAAGCATGGGTTTTTACGTTTTCTTATAAAGATTCATGAACTAATTGGTGTCTTTTTCTTATAGCAAAAAGTGCCTTATTGTAAAAACCCTTAAGTTTCGTGGTACTCATATTTTCTAGATATTTGTGTGACAGAAACCAAGGTATTTTTGATATCTCCTGTCTAGTGAATTTTCTGAATGCTGAAAGAAACATTTTTATAAGTATTATAAGTATAAAAGTAAACGCAGCATGATTAACATGCCATCCTAAATTCTGCCCCCTCCCCCTCCACTACGAGCAAACGATTGGAAATTTGTCTTCGAAGCATTGGCATTGTGTCTTCGGAAACTTTCAATGCCTTCATAGCGTTTGTATTTGAATTATCACTGACTTTCACTTTTGAAATTACAAAAATTCCAAAGATTTTAAGAAATTAAGAAAATGGGTGTGTTATTGATATTTTGTTAAGAGTTTGTTCCTAATGCCAAGGAGCAATTACCAGCAATCAAAAAATTACCCACAATTAACTCCTCATAATACAATGGGGTCACTTTTTTGGCTCCATGTTGTTGTGGAATTCAAGTTTTGACTGATGTTTGCAAAGATATTATGTTCAGCTTGTCATTTATTCATATGACATCAACCAAATAGAATGTCATCTTTTCACAATCACACACACACACACATTCTGAACAAAACCTTGCCACTTCATCTTTAGCAGTAGCCATATTTTGATACTATTCACCAAAGAAAGTCAGATATATAGTATAATTTTGCCCCTCCGTCACCTTCAGTAAAATGACTATTTGAATCTTTAAACCATCTTTTGCTAATTAGAGTAAGCAGAGAGAACAGAGACAAAGTAAAAAATTTTTCCTTTCTATTGAGTTAATAACAACATATATAGATTTTATGAAGATTTGATTTTATGTTATATTGTATTAGATTAACATTTTGGCATTTTTACTTAAAAAGTTTAAAGAAAGAAGTAACATATTACCAACATACTTCACTGAAACAAATTTGTGGTTTTAGCAGTACACTCACTTTTTCCACACAAAATTCTAAATGCTTTAATATATCAAAAATTATAAGAACAAAAATCTAAATGATTCAAAGATACTTAATAGGTCTTTTACTTCTTTCTGATCATTAATGATGTTTTGCAAATTACTGCTACCATAAAAGTTAAAACAACTTTTATTACAAATTACCTCTACCATAAAAACAAAAATTTTCAAGAGGTACAACCAAGAATTAATTATTCTTAAACTTTTTTGGATTTAAAAAGTTGCAAAGCTTCATCAAAACTAGCTTATAGTTGAATTCTATTTACAGAGCTGCTATCATAGCAAGAACAGAAAAATTACCAAACCAACTATGCAAAGAGAATTGAATATAACCATTAAATGGGCATAGAACTGGAAAATAAACAAACTGTTTTTACATCTTCAAACTTTCAGTTATTGCAAAGTCATTTACGATTTGATCCTGACTTGAAGTAAAAGTCAATGCCTCTCTGATTCCTTTGTGTTTTGGGATCTCCACCTTGACTTTGTTTTTGTCCTGCTTTGTGTTTGTGCTTTCCCCATTCAGGGGCTACCACAACTGGCCTAGGGTAAGTCTTTCCTAACTCAAAATTTGCTTGTTTTAAATCTGTAATAGGTACAGTCCAGGGCATATGAATACTACTATCATTAATATTTGAAAGTTCAGGCACCCAGAGGCGTACAAAATCACCATTGCCATCATAGTCCATACCTTGCTTTATCATGTTAAATTTTCGGTTTTCCCTTGGGTCATTTCCAATACCAGCAGCATAATTCCAGTTGCCATAGTTACTACAAACATCGTGGTCAAGAAGCATAGACTCGAACCACTCTGCACCAAGCCTCCAATCTAATCCAAGATCCTTTACAAGAAAACTTGCTACATTTTGTCTTCCGCGGTTAGACATCCACCCTGTTTCTAGCAATTCTCTCATGTTTGCATCAACAAATGGCACCCCAGTTGAACCTTGGCTCCATTTGTTAAACAGGTCCATGTCTTTCTTCCACTGTACCTGTCTACCCATAATTCCAGATGGGTAGAAGACTCTGTCACCATACTTCCAACAGACAAACTTGAAGTAATCTCTCCAAATAAGTTCAAAAATAACCCAGTAGGTTGAGTCATTTGCAGTTTTAGTAGACTCATACAGTTTGATATCATTGTAGATTTTTCTAGGTGAAAGACTTCCAGAAGAAAGCCAAGGACTGAACTTTGTTGAATAGGCCTGACCTATGAGTCCATTTCTGGTCTTCTTATAAGTAGCAACAGCATCTGTCTCCCATAAGTAGTTATTAAGTCTTTCAAGAGCAGTAGTCTCTCCACCAGAATACGGAAAAGCAGACCTGCTATCTATCTCAACATTTTCATCTTTCACTCCAAGATCTGACAAATGTGGTATTTCTCCCAAATTACCTTTTACAGGTGGGAGGGGCTTTAGTCCATCTGGGACAGGAATGATATGTCTGACTGTGGTTACATTCTCCACTTTTTTGCGAAATGTAGTATAAGTGTCTGGAATTTCATGGCAAGAAAAAGGAATATCCTCAATATGGAAGAGGGTTGAGCCCCAAAATGGTTTTACCTCAATACCCATTTTCTTGCACATAGTTCCTAATTGAGATTCAACATCAATTTCCTCTCTAGTTACTTCTTTCTGGTACACTACTGAAGTGACTGGTGCTTCTTTGCTACAAAGGTCTACAAGCTCCTTTATGGCAGATACTGGGTCTTCTTGACGAATTATTAGATTACTGCCTAGCTTTTGAAAAGTTGCTTTCAAGTCCTTCACACATTCAATAAGAAACTTTGACCTGTATTTTCCAGTTTTAGGAAAACCAAATTTGTATGTACCTTTGAAGTGATTAGGATCAAAGCAATAGAGTGGTATGATGTGGTCTGCATTTCTGTTTGCCCAATGTAGGCATTCATTGTCATGCGTCCTGAGATCATTTCTAAGGAAATAGATTACTGTTCTTTTCATTGCCTTAGCCATAATCACACAAAGGCCTGAAATAAAAAGTTTCAAGTTATGACAAGGGTACTTGATAAGGGATTACTTTACATTACAGCCAGTCTCAAAACATTTTGTTAATTTAAACAATTTTCAAAATCGAGTAGTCCTATGTAATAACATTTGTTATGTAACAATTATAAAATCCTGTCTGTGTAACGATTGTTAAACAAAATTCAAATCTAGAGACGCTCGTTGCTTGCACAAAACTTTAAACAAAACTGTATTTCTGAATCTAAGTACGTAAAAAATATGTCAAAATACAGTTTTACCTTTAATTTATTGAAGTTGCGTTGCGTGACCACTTTTTCGTGACCACCACTACGTGGATTTTCTGTTTTTCTCGAAGTTGTGTTTGTTGCTGTTGTTGTAATGTTTAGGATTCGTAGTAGAGAAATAGCGAATCGGGGGGTACACAGGAAAAATGATGCAGAATGGGTAATGGAGAAAATTTGGAAAATGGTCTTAAATCAAATGGCTCATATTGCAATATATGTTTCATTTTGCTTTGTTATAATTGTTCTGCTTGCAGTTTTGAAGTTTCAGTTTTTTTCTGTCAAGGATTTTTTGAGTTTTCTTTGTCACCAAAGAGTCATTTTTTCATGATCATCCTCCCTGTAGAGCCTCGTTTTCGCTCGGCCTAGAGTTACTCATTCTTTCATCGATATATTTGTGGTTGGTGAATGTTTACTGTTATGCTGGAGATATAACTTGATAAAAATGCCTAATTTTATAGACAATAGGCAGTCGGTAAAGGTGACAGAAGGTGTTTTAGAATCCAGTCTTCTTTATCCTTACGACTACGGTAAGCACCATTCAACTTACTACAACCTTGTCAACTGTCATGATCTAAACCAAAGGAAGGAGTTTTTCCGCTTAGAAACTGCATGTTTTAATCAAACGTTTAAGGTCGATCCTGTTTGAGAGTATTTAATTATACGTTTTTTAGCGTTTTAAGGGTACAAGTCTACATTCAAAGCATGGGTGCCTCTATTTGACGTTTTATTTGGGGGTCCAATCCTTGCTACTACTTGGGCTAGTAAATCAAACATCAGGAATAAGTGACTAGTTTTACAGAGAGTTATCTACATTTACATAGCATTATTTTTGTACCACATATCTTTATTTCTGCTGCTGATTTGTATTTTGATGCTAGAAACTCCAACAAGTTCCAAATATTCCAAATAACTATAAATTCCAAATGCTATAAATTCTAAGCTTGGCCTTTGCATGCCAATATAGGCCTTTGAATTTCAATTTTTGCATACTTTTACAAATCTTTCTTCTAGTACTACTTATGTCATTTGCAAAGTACTTGTAATATGGTTTTCTATTTTAGATTCTTTTGCTGAAAAGTTAAATGATGAAGATAAAAATTGGGATTTGGAGAGCATGATATCAGATCCTTTTGAAACGCTACAAAATGTAATTACAATTTTATTATATTTTTTTAGTCTTGTTTCTCTTTAATTTATTAGACTATGTTAAAAGTTTTTTTAAGAAATGGGAGCATTTTGCAGTGGCTTGGAAACTTGATTAATAATATAATGTTAAGAATCAAGAGCTGAGGTGGCCCAACCACACTAAGGAAATGAGACGTGTCTGGAAATGAAATTTTTGACTATCTCAAATTTTCGATTTTCAAGTTCTTGAAATGCTAAGTGCCAATAAAATAAATGTTCCCTGAAAGTTCCTTCACTGTGTTTGAAATTTCAAAGTTCATGGTTTTTCTTCAAATTTCAGGTTAGGTTTTTTACAACTGATCCCTACCACTGCTCTTCAGCCACCTTTAACCAGATTAATGACAAAAAATGGTATTTTCAAATTAGATTAATGAACAAGAGCAGCAGTGCTTACAACATTAAGTATATGTAATTTATCTGCCATTGCAGGGTTGTCGCCACTCGGGGTTTGGGGGTGTAACACCCCCAATACTATCTCAGTAGGAGATTTCAGGTAAAATCTGCTCAGTGGAAGTTCTAGGTATTTCAGAGACCTTCATGTCTTAAAATCAATAAAGGCTCAAGGAAAGGTAGTTGCTTCGTTGGTTAAGTATGATGTTCCTTGATATGAAATAAAGTTAGCATATTAATGATTTGAAGATTTCCTGTTGGCACTAAATCGAAAAATCCAGGCCCTCTTTAGGTAAAACTGTGCCTTGTGTCCATTTTCCATAAAATTTCTCAGTAGAATCTTCAACTGCAATTTACAATGAGCTCCAGACAATGGTGGCACTAGCCACTAAGCTCTGAGGGGACAAAGCAAAAAATTTTAGGCCATGCCCTTTTTAGCACCAGAAAACGCCCTTTTTCCAGCAAGGAATGCCAATTTTACCTGAAGGTAATGCCAATGATTAACTTTTGGCTTTGTGAAGGCAGTTTGAAAAATATGGTATTACATCACAAAAGTATGTTGCCAAAATATTACCCCTCCCCAACATTTTCTCATCAAATTTAGACAAAATATAAAATTGATCCTGCCAAGAACCAGCATGTCCCCCCAGTCTCCCTGTGGTGCTGCTACTGCCTCCAGATTTTTTCAACGTTCAAAAGGAATGCTAAGATGGAAAGAGGGGTCTAAATTGACAACCAGTGCTGCTTGTAACCTAGCTTTAGAAGTAACTGACAACATGGAATTTTTCAAGACCATGGGGAAATAGTACCAGTTGTTTTTATCTGCTGCTCAATTTGTTTGCAAAAATAAAAGAATTTCAATACAATATCCTTTGCCTGTTCTGATATATAGATTTGACAAAACTATAAAGAAAGTCTGTTATTATCTGATAAAAATGAAAGTTGCGAATTATATGCCACAGAGCTAGATTGTCAAAATGTATTGCAGAGGTTTGTGACAGCAACTAAAGAATTTTATGTAATTATTTTTTAATCAGGTAAGTATGTAGTCCACCTCCCCCCCCCCAACAAGGCTTACCTCCCGACGGCCCTGCATCATTTACCTAATTATAAGTGCTATCTTAAGTGGCATCATTCTGTCAAAAACCAGTTCAGTCTTAATCTGATTCCCCCTTCTGTTAAATTCATGCAGTGTCAAACTGTTTATCATATTACACTAAATTCTTCTCCCAAAAAAACATCCAATCTTCCCAGAAGAATAACAGCCAGAGCATGAACCATAGAATACCAGCCAATATGATGTATATAGGAATACTAGAGAAGTATTGAAGGCTGTTAGATCAGAACATAAATCTTCTTCATTTCCAATTCCATCTTATATCTCAAGCTACTGATCTTTCTTTCATCTTTGACCACTCTCTTCCTATGGCTTCTAAAATTTGAAAAACAATTCAAAGCAACATGCACAATAACATTTAAAGTTTTACAGTCAAATATCTGAGCAACTCCCTTGCCCTGCTAAAAACCTATCTATTTGGAACATCTCTCAATCCTCTTATTGCTCTTTTTGTCACCTGCCAGAAACGCTACTTCACATTGTGACCTGCTGCAAAACATACCTTGAAGAAGGTCCTTACACATGCTGCCATAACTCTGCAAAACGTCCTGATACAGTCTTTCAAAGCTTTACCCAATAGCTCTCTTTAGGCAGACCTTTCAGTTTATCTCTCACCAGGTTATCTCTTTCATAACAGGAGACTCTTTCTGTCCTGATCTACTTCTAGTCATTTCTGACAATTGCCTATTCATACTCGGGCTGATTGTTGGATACAAAACTAATTTGGATGTTATTGCTAACCACAAGAAAGAGAAATACTTGCCTCTTATTCACAGCCTAAGCTGAGGCTATTCTTGTATCATGTTTGTTAATCTTCCTATCAGTTCTCTAGGTATCTTTGGTATCTTCTGTTTCTCTTTCATTGACATGTGGAACCCTCTAGATATCAGCAAGAATCGTCTCCACTTCATGATCTCCAAACTATACAAATTAACTATCCATACTACATTTTCTGCTGCAGAAATGAGACTTAATAATCCTAAACTTCTGCAATTCTGACAATTTCTGCTACTGAAAACTTCCAAAACAAACAAAGGACAAACAAATTTTTCCTTTTTTTCTCATTTTCTTTTTATGTGCTTGGTATAGTCTTTTGTTTTGTAAACTCATAGCCAATTGCAAATTACCTTTATAATAGTGAAGTTTGTGATTGTAGTTTAGCTGGAATTGAAAAAAAAAGTTTCCATTATCATTTTTCTAGATATTATAGAATAATAATAAGATTTTTTATTAAAGAATTTATTTTTTTATTTTATGATTATTATAATTACTGTCTCCCATTCTTATAGCACTTTCATTCAGGCACCACCACACAGACTCCCTCACATCACTCACCGCCCTTGTATCTTCCACTTTCATTACCTGTTTCTTATCTGTTGTGCTGCATTCACACCATTCCACATCCACCAACACAACCATCGTTAATTTCAAATTTGTAAATCTATCAGCCTGTTTACTTTTGCTTTGATGAAGCTTTGTATGGTGGGCAAAATATTAGCTACTATAAATTTGTCTATGTTTTTTGTTGTTTGTTCTTGGTATGCAGGCCCTTCCCGGAGACCCGGGCTATAGCCCGCGCCCGCGCAAACCCCAGGCCAAAAAAATTTGTGAGGGCTTTTTTCGGCCCGCGCAGTTGCTTATAACAACATTCTCATTCAATCAACTTCATCTCACTCCCCAGTGTTTTAACTGATTACCGCTATATACCAGGGTATCTATGAATAACGTCATGTCAAAAAGATAGACGGTTTTAATAAATATCGTTATAAAAAGGACATTTCAGTTTCTCTTGACAAAAAACGTTAACAAACTATAGTATTACCTGCTAAAACTTCCACAGCAAATGCTTGTGCACGCAAGGAACAACAGATAGAAAAAAATAGCAAGAATGAGTATTATTACATAAGAAAAGAGTACTGGGCAATCAGAAAAACTTAAAAAACCGTATTTCTCGAAGCAAAGACAGAAAATTTCATTTCCGCTCTTGGACTCTTCAACTAGGTAAGAGATAACAGTTGGGATTGGTTAATAACAGAGAACCAATCATTCACGCTTTCCAATCTCCCGCATTTATTTCGATCCGCTTAAAAATTTCTGCTTACTTTTTGACATAAACCAACATATATACTTTGAGGGTGACGGACAAAAAAAAGTTTCAGTACGATATGTTTCCGCTCTTCTGTACTGTTTTCAGGTTAAGAAACACTTAAGAAAGAATGGGTATTGGATTTTTCTGTACCGTTAAGAAACTGAAATACTCAACATCAACCTTCAATTCTTATAGAAAAGAAGTGTATTTCAGTTAAATTTTCTTTAATTTTTATGGCAAATCAACTTTATCTTACTCTTTAAATAATACTTTATTGCTCTTTATTTTTAATTGCTCTATATTTTTTTATTAAAGATGAGTTTTGTTGGATCCCACTCAATAACTCTGTCCTCCTACACAAAACTTTTCCATCTTGCAAAAAACCAGATATCCCTTTTGTCATTGTACGGAGTAGTTATGGACACAAAACTGTCTTCTAAGGATAAAGAATGTCTACAAGTAGGCAAAGTAATATAATTTTTCCTTGTCCATACCCAAATAGAAGTAGATAAACAACAAATTCTGCAAGGGCTATATAGCCCACACATAATGACCACCAGGGGTCTTTTTTAGCAGTGTGCTGTTTTTTCTCGGAGAGGCCTGATGTTGCAGTGTTTCTTTTTTTCTACATTTCTTTCTTGGATTGCTTCTATCTGTTTGCACCTTATATTCAAAGGCAGCTTCTTTTTATTTTCCCACAAGTTGCTGCAGCTTCTATTGGAAGCTGGCTTAAGTATGCTATGTTTTTGCTATTATGTTCTATCTCCAAGCAACTAAGTGTTATAAGGCTTAGTTCAGAGGCAGCTTCCAGAGTTTTGAACCTGTATCTTGTACTCTTTTTTAGAATTTGTCAGGAAATGAAGCTGAAAAGTCTAATGATACATCATGGGATGCTATCAATGCATGGCTGTTTGACTCTTCAGATATTTTGACAAAAGGTGTGTCAAATTTGAATGAATACTTCTTGTATTTTTGCAGATTTACTAAACCAATATTTTCTTACTTTGCCAATGTATTGCCAGGATTAAGCCAGGTTTGATCTTTCATTGACTTATTGATGATTTTACCAGATTGATGAAACTAATCTAATGATATAGCCATAGTTTTGAGCAAATGCTTTTTGTTTATTTTTCTATTAAATGCAAGCACTTTGTCACTTAATTAGCTTTTAGTTCCAATAGAAACTGAATTCTAAAAGACTTAGAGAGAAATAGCCCAGTTTTTTTAGTTTAGATATGAAGTCTGAAGAGTTGGCAAAGATAAATGCTTTTTAAAAATGTGTTTTATACACTGTCAAGTTAAACATACTTCATTATGTTTTTACTTCTAGATATAAAACAAGAGTCGTTGTCCCCAACACATACATCATCATCATCAGTTGTCTCTGAAATTGAGGTATTATTATACTCATATGCTGTACAATAAAAATGACCTAGGCAGGCCTTTTCGTGAGAAATAGCCCATGCAAGTGGCCAAGCATATCATTATTTCTCTTTTGCAAGCGATCGCTCTCGTAGTGGTAATTATAATCAACAATGCTAAAAGCATCTGTAATGTTTGCAAAAATTGTACAATCCTGTTATAAGGTACTTTTGTGTGAAGTAATTTCAAATGTAAACAAACTCTTGTGATGATCTTCATTGCACTCCAATAAAGATAAAATACCCAACATAAGTGTGCCTCATTTATATGTTTTATGTACATCACAAAGGTCATATAGATGTTTTTGCCGGATGATTGCAAAAGATTGTTCCAAACCTTTGTTGGTTGACAGTGGGCCTTTAAAATTGCTTTGTTAAAGGGCTAATGTAGTTCAAATATTAAGTGCCTGTAGTACCCCTATACTTTGTTATGGAATTGACTTTCAATTGCAATTTTCTGTTGAGATTTGGTAATTCATATTTTACTAAAGTTTCTTATTTTTGACATACCGGTGTTGTATCGTGTATGTCACTTGTTTTTGTCACAAAAAATGACTGGAAATGTGTTAACCTCAAAATTCACTGTCTTGCGCGGTCGATCACAATTTGATTTGCGAGAATGGTTGGCTTTGTGAGAATGCAAGTGAATAGGCATTCTTTTTATTGTATCTTTATGGGTAAGTGAAAACAAGCAGAAACAGTGCAGAGTCTTGACAAAGATATCCTAAAACCATTGAGGGAACATTTGATTGAATCTAAGCAAGACCTTTTCAAATTATGTTCTTTTAATTGTTTGCCTATCTTCACTTTAACTGTAATGTTGTTTCCTATGGGTCATTGAATATTTTTTTATTGTAGATTGAAAATGGTATAGCTTCTGCACCTCAACAGGCAGTTCAAACTTTTGATATAAACAACTTGATGAGCCCACTTGCCACTCAGACCAATATAACTGCACCGCAGCATTGTATTTCTAATGGTGATCTGAGCATGAATGCAGCAGATAGCACTGTGCAGATGTTGAATAATGCAATTCACCAATTATCTGCAAGTTTGAATGATTCCCAGTACAAAGTTTATCAGAAATTCATTCCAATCAAACCAAAGGTAGAAAAGCCTGGTAAGTGGAAACAATTATATTCAGTTTATCTTTTAAAATTCATTTGCTTTTCTAGACATTCAGTGGCTAGTTTTTGCTACTATCATAGAGTTCATCTTACAAGAGCAAGAATCAAGAGCTGGAAGCTAATCTTAACTATTCTATTTTAGCTGGGAAAATTTGTTGTTTGTTTGTGGTTAGTTAATTAAAAATAGATTTAATATCTGTTGTAAAATTGACTGTAATAGGGCAGTATAAAAATTACAAAATGTCATTTATAGGGTGATTTACAATGTTATTCCTCTGAGAGACAAACCTTTCCATACTCACAGAATAAAATTTGGTAGGCCCACAGCAACCAAAGCTGCTTGATATGCCAAAAAATAGGATGAATGGTTTTAGAAAAAATAGAGTTATAATGAAGGATTTTATTTTAGATCTAGAAGCATCCATTTTTGAAACATAACATCAATGGATTCCATTTTATTATTCCAGAAATACTAATTTCAGTGCCACTTCAGTTAGGCTGTGCCAAGAAAACCAATGATCACATAATTGCCTGTCTACTTTTTTTGCCAGTCTATCCTAATCAAGCCAATAGGTTTGATTCTTCGGTGTTGGGAGGGAATCGTGACAATCATCAATGAACAGTAATTTAAAAGAGGACTTGTATGTTTTTCGTTTTGCAGACATTGTGGATGAAAAGCCGCCTGTTGCGATTTCGAACATTACTTTTCCTTCAAAAGCATCTCCATCATCACCTAATAGCATTGTAACGGTTAGTACCAAAAGTTTTTCTTTATTATTTTGCTTTAGCTTGTTGTAGATCCCGTTTCTTTTGTAGCTAGCAGAATGCCCACATTTTCTAAGAATTCTTTTTATAATGAGTTCTTTTTGTATTTTGATGGCCTAATTGTAGGTGATGGGATCGCTGAATTTGCTCTGCTAATTAGTTCATAAGCTGTTTCGAGTTATCAAGATGTGAATAAAAATATCTCAGTAGTGGGAAAGGCCACCAAATAAAGATTTGAAAATGAATGGCAGAATGCTTAATCTAAAACGGTAGACTTAACCAAATCCTTTTCAGGATATTTTTGGTATAGTTTATTTGGAGTGTTTTCTGTTTAGGCCCTTATGTCCGTCAAGGCTCATTATATCAGACCCTTTATGGCATTTGGATCTGGACACTATACTCATCTGCATCTATCAACCTCGAGCCTTATTATAGCTTTGATATCATCTGACAAAACATGAGAGTATTTAGCTTGGGTTTATTTATAAAAATAATAATAACAGTACTTTGCACTTCAAGATCTATCTATCATTCCATTTATTTTTCGCAAATTAAAATTGAAAGCGATACCCAAGGCGATTAAAATGACTTAATTTCATATAAAATCTAAAAATTACAATCTATCCCAAATATCTCTTCCTCAGGATCAACTCGCTAATCAAAATGATAAACCAAAATCTTCATCAAAACGGAGATTGAATTCAGAAACAGACTTTGAGGTAAGATTGAATTCAGTATTTCAATTCTAAACCCGAATTTATTTATGATATATACCATTTGCTGTATGGCTCTTGTAATGTATGAGTTAATTGCAATTCTATTTGAAACAGTAAATTTAATAATGTACTTTTTAAAGTAACATACTCTCTGTGTTGAAATATAGGCCTTAATGTCACATGGAAAATGTTGTTTATTATCTCTTAACGTATCTCATAGATTATTAATTTTATTTTTGCAAACATTTTAGCAAAAGAAGTCAAGAAAACAGAATCGAATGGCAAGGAACAGGGAATCTGCCCTGCAATCGAGGCAAAAGAAAAAGGAGGTTAATATCTTTATATTGTTTATCTATAAACAAATACAGCTCACAAACTATTACCAGGCTATTCATGTATTGTGTCGAGATATAAGTAAATAGGTTATGCTCCAGGTATTATGCTGTATTCAAATATCATATTGTTAAGTGATGTTCTAGTCACTTTTTTATTCTTTACATTGCAGAACGAAGCATTCATGCTGTTCTAGCCCATTTAGCTCGCTTCAAAAAACCAAAAACACCTCATTTTTTAAGATGTTAATGTTATTTCGTGCGATAAAAGTAAGCAATCCAGTTTTTTTATATCTGTGAAAGTAAGCTTGTCTGTACAAATGGTATTCATACACCTCGTGATTCCCCCTTTTCAGTGGATGCAGACATTAGAAATGAGACTTTCTGCTTTGTCAAACGTCAACTGCCAATTGAAATTCGAAAATGATGCTCTAAAAGAGAAGATAAGATCTCTGGAATCAGAGGTAAGAGTCAGGGTATTATTATACCAGTGAGCTGTTCCCTCCAAATACATTCCTGGCAGTTTTGCGTTCCAATGTCCCTTCTATATATATGTATACTTCAAATATCTATATCAAAGCAAATTTCTATATAAATTTTCTGTTATATATCAACTAGAAACCACTTTGTTTTTCAAGAATTCCTCAGTAGGAAAATCAATTGTTTGTATTGTAATGTTCTACTATTGAATTTGTCAGATAGCCTATTGTCTTTGGCATTTTTACAACATCCTGCGAATCAACCACAAGATTCTCTTACATGCAATGGGAGTTCGCTCCTAACTGGCTTGTTCAAATATCAGTGTTCAAATTTTTAACGTTTTGATAGAACTCTGAGTTGAAGACAAAGAAGCAAATAGACGTTCCTGATTTGGCTAAGAAGACTTCATGTGTTCTTGTTCTTTTCGTGTTTCTCGCTATCAACGTGAAGCCATTAAGGTATGATTTCTGATTCAAACTTCTCTTAGATCTTGTAATTTAAATTGGAATTTTTTTCTGTATCCAAACTTAAGTTGTTCATTTTTTTTGTATTATCGTTATATTATACTGCTTTAGACTATATTTTAAACTAGTGAATCATAGTATGTTTTCCATGTTATAATGTTATCCATGTTTAAAGCATCAGATATTGGTAGAAAGAGGCTCTTCAATAAGTTGATGATTGCTGTAATGATAATTGTTACATTTTATTCTTCAGATATGTCGTTTTGGCAAAATTATTCTTAATGGTTAATCAAACATATAACATTGTTGAGTTATTTTTGCTACAGTGCGTTCGTTATCTAAAGGCATCGTCTACAGGGCCCTTATTGATAACAATACTCGTAGTATTGACAAGGTTTTACCCTGTATTAATATTCCTCTTATTATTATTATTATTATTACAAGTAATAGCTCTGTAATCAATATTGTAGCAATCTATCGTCCATGCAAGGCGATTCGCTGCAGCCCTACCAGAGCCCAATGCGCCATGGCCGTTATTTACTGGAACACAGCAAGGACACGGACCAAGAAGCAGTAAACCAGAACATTGCTTTCAATAAAGAGGACTCAAAGCGACTTGCTTCCGATGGTCTTATGGATATTTTAGACAGAAATGTCATTCGAAAGATCAAGAGGTTGTACCGGCTTCAAGACAGGATTAAAAGAAAGGAAATTGCTGCAGAAATGCACAGTGTCTCTATGCAACAGAAAGCAAACGAAACCATGGATGATCCCAACTGCACGATGAGTTGTAACAAGACGGAAGTTGTCAGGTAAGCAATAAATGATCTGAACCAACTAGTAGTTTGACATTGCTATAAACTGCTATGAGGTCATGTTTCACTGAATGCTATCTACTCATCCGTACTCGCGTTAATGTTAAGAATTATATGCTAATTCAAATGTTCGCCAGCCTGTAGAATTTGCTCAACTTGCATAACCTGATTTTATTTACCTGAGCGCCTTGCTAAATTCAAACTCATTATAATGCACTGAGCAATAGGACACGAATTTGGGAAAGCTGGGGAAATATCATTTAAAAAGATTTAATTTCTTTTTAGTTTGTTGATTCACAGAATCAAGCTAGAACCCCCCGCTCCCCTGCTCCTCAGGACATCTATTTACAGCCATTAACCTTGTTGATCAGTTTCTATTGGATGTGTTAACTTAGACCCCGTTTACACTAAAGAAAAAAGAACGGAACTCTTTGGTTCCGTGCCCTAAAAAGGCGACGGAAGACCTTGCATTTACACTAGGCATCTTGGTTCCGTGCTAGTTTGGGAACGGTTCTGTTCTTCTTTGGTTTCGCTAAAATGCGAGACTTTTTGGTTCCGTTGTCGAATCGTGCTTCTTTTCTCTAGTATAAACGTTCAGGAACGGAACTTTTTGGTTACGATTCAAAATGAGGCTTAATCTAGGGTGTAGGCGAGGCTTTCTGATAATGGCAGACGTCATTGCCGCGCCACTGCGCATGATTCACTGAAAGTTCCGTTCTTTTTGCTTCAGTGTAAAATCACTGAAAACAGAGGTATCATGCCTAAACAAGAACAGAACCAGGGAGTTCCGTTTTTCTTTCCGTAGTGTAGACGGGGTCTTATATTAACGAAGTATATCTCGCTAGTTTTTATGTATACGTCATGTTGTGAAATAAACAGTCTTATATAAATAACTTTTCGCAATCGGCTAACGTGAACTTTTATTCGGTTCAGCAAGTACTTAATTGTATATTTCAGGCTAAATGAGGCACTAGAACGCCTTGTCAAAGTACCTAAAAAGAAAACCAAAAAATCAAAAAGCAAGAAACTTTCAGAAAAGGTAAGCTTTCGTTCTTAAATTTGCATTTTTTTGTTTCGTCTTACATTTAAATGTTTTGATGAACCCGTAAGTAATTTTTTATTGCCAAACAGAACTCTCATCCTTTCTTCGACTAAAGATTTGTTACAACACACACTCGTAAGTTGTAGGCTATTAAAAATTTGAGGTCTTTACGTCCCTTACATTGTCTTTATTTGTCTTGAATGCAAAACATAAACATTTTTATAGAAGTGCTGTTTAACCCTTGTTACAGATAAGCTAAACTTTGGAATGCCCTGCCCCCTTCCCATTTCCCAGACTCTCACAGCCGTCTTTATTCAACACAAAAGTAAACAAACTTGGTCTTTTCTCTCTTGCTTCCTAATCCTTTCTACCTTTCCCTTGTTAGGGCCTAGCTATACGCTCATATGCCTTTCCCTAACACCATCAACTAAAACAAACCTAATCCTTCCAGTAACCTTTCCCATTATTAACAAGAAAGATTGCCTTTAGGCCCCAGACTTATGAATCGAAACATTCATTTCTCGTAGGCCGTGAAGTTAAATGCCTTGAAAACATTACTGATGCCTGGTGTCAATTGCTCTGACTCCGCTAGTAATACTGCCAACTGCTCAAGAAACATGACAAGTAGAGGCAACACATCTGTTCGTAGACAGCCTCCACCTATAAGGTAGGCCTCGTTCTGTTAAACAAACCTCATCTGTAAAGACAACTTTTATCGTTACATGTTACTTATTCGCTATGTTCTTACCGAAATAACCTGTTATCTACAGTAGATAAGCACACCCACTTTATGGAACACAACATTTCCATAATACTGATACTTGCTTTTTTATTATTCTTTCAGTTCCAATAACCGTGTGACCAAGCCCAATGAGCTGCAAACAATTCAGTATGACTGGAGGTAATGTAACCGTTTCTCTCATACCAAGTCTTGATAATTTCATGCATTTTTCTAGCTACCATTTCTTGTTGATATCATGCACTTCGACCTTGACGAATGAGTTCGATGAGTTCGAATAATGTTTTATTTCAAATGTGCTGCCTTAAGTTAAACTTTATGGCAATTGATAGATACTGCTGCGGTTTAAGCCATCTGCCAATTAACATTAAGTTAGCCTGACACCTACAATCACTGCCAAAATTACTTGAAACACCTAACACTTTGTGCTGTGCTTTTCTATTTTTCATTTGTTTTCTTGAATACTACCACTTCCGCCCCCCTTTCCCCCCAAAACAATGTTGAAAGTATAGAAAAATATCAAACAATCCACAAGAAAAAGCGTACTCCATAACCCCTTTCTTTTTTCTTTAGTAAATCAACATTGTTCCTAGGGGGAGAGGGGGATGGCTGAATTTGCCTTTGAAAACCTACGTTAATGTTCCAAGACTTTCGGCAGTGATTGTAGCACGCTTATTGGTGGAATGATAGTTGATCGACAGATAGCTGATGCCCCTTAATTGTTTCTCGATTCCCTTTTATGCCGCATGTCTTGATTGGAGTCTTTTTGCCTCTTGTTGTCAATATTCCAGGCGTTTGAAGATTTCAAAAATCTGCCCATTCCCGACTCCAAAAAATGACGATATACTCAGAGTAACAAGATTAATTTTTCGTACCGACAATGCTATAATAGCAAGCTATTGTATTAAATTCTTATGATATGAAAAAATTCCAAACTGCAATTTTATTATTTCTTGGTACTGGAGTATAATTTTTATGATTTTTACAATTTTTATCCCTTAATCATTGCAATATTAGGGGTTATTATAAAATATCATTTCATGGATTTTTCGTATATGATTTTATAAAAGACAAACTAAAAATTTGAACCTGGAACAGAGTTAAAATGCATTCTGATCATTTTATGTCTTTCATCCTTTGCTTGTTATGAATTAGAAGAAAAAGATTTGAATGCATAATGGTAAAATAGGCATCAGATTTGTAAGCTGGTACTCAATCCGTTTGAAAGTCGTTTTCAATAAACGCAAGGCTTGGTTTTTTAGCCCCACTACTGCTTCATACTTTCGCAATTCTTAACCTTTCTAGACCTTTATATTTCAGTGTTTTCGAAAGATTTCAAAAATCAATCCACCGTGAACCAGATACGTTTTACTTCGTCTCGTTTAGAAGGGTAAGCATTTTATGATTGGTATTGTTCGATACTTGAGCAATGTCTTTTCTTCCTCCTTTTAATGCGTTCTAGGTTTGGCAATATTGCCGTTTGAATTTAAGGTCGCCCATTTATGTTTCTTCTAGGTTCAGTCAATCTCTTCTGAGTCTTAAGTTTTAGAGCGATCAAACGATGATAGATAAACCACCAAACTTCTTATCTTACCTATCTCTTATTCCAGTATTCTCTGGGCAAAATAAACAACTCATATTTGCTTCTTTTGGTTTTCCTTAGGTTATCCTTTTCGGGCACATTGTCTTATTGAAGGAATCATTGCCTTCATTTCCTCGTTATCTTTTCTTTTACATGTTGTTTAGAACCCGGTTTTAAACAGAGTTAATCACCCCTTTGTTCCTACAATTTAACCTCGCTTTCACTTTCTGTCACGGGCAGGCTAACCTAGGACATCCGGGACATTTGTAGGTTTATAAGGGATGCACGAGTGATACGCCCCCTCTGCAAGGTCTATGCATGCTGCAAACGGTTGTTTGCCGCCGCAGCAATGTTCAATCTTTTAAGTCCCCTCCCACCTGCCTCTTTTTTCTTTGTCTGCTTATTCTTCCAATCTGGCTATCATTCTTTTCCTGAAGACCTTTTCGTCTTATGGGCAGGTGCGTCAGTCGGGAAAATGTTCCCATTGGTGACACCGACCTTAGAAATCGGTATTCTCCAGGCAGTACAAGGGCTGGTGCACCTAGCAAGCCCACTTCCTGGAATAAGGTTTTTTCTAGATAGTTAGCCACTATCAGGCACTAAGTAATATTTCAATTCTTGGCAACTGTTTTGGGGCAAATTGTTAATAATTTGAGATTGCAATATAACTACATCACTATTAAAAAGGGTAGGGATTAATGTGATAATATGCGGGTCTTACTTGCACGTAATGAATAATTGCTTACCCAATTGAACGTCTTTTCATTTTTCGCAGGATCATATATTGCTGCCGCCATTGCAGTTAAACGAAACGCAACGTCCTCGTGTTTCTTTTATCTTCCCAAACTCGAACAAAACACGTGAGTATCTCGAATTCACTCCCAGTATATCCGCTACCAGTAAGCCACATTATATCAAGTAGTCAATTAGAACTATTGATTTTGAAGTTAAAGGGGGGGGGGGGGATTCAATATTGGTTAGGTTAGTAAAATTTTTGAAACTAATGATCCTGCTTGATGTATTTGATCTTTCATTTTCGCGCATGGCAAGATTATATCACGTGATTATGTGCGTATTTAATTTTGACTGTGTGATTTTGTAACAAATTTCACTAATTCAAGGGACAGCTTCCTGTCAATTTTTGGAAAGTACTCAACACATTCCCATAAAAATTTGAAACGATTAAGCGAGAAAAATATAAATACGATATATTGCTCCTTTAGTCAAATTATTGAAAACAATTGGCTTTAATTAAAAGACGTAGTTGTCAGGTTGGGAAAGAAGTTCACCCGTTGCAATAATGTTTTCCAGATTTAAAAAACTGATTTATGTTAGGTCCTACTTCAGGTTTCATTTCAATTTTAAACACGAGCTAGCTTTTTTAAACTCTCATTGTCTGTCCTGTTTAATTTTTGTTGATGACCTTAGCAAGTTGTCTCGGTAGCATCTTCATTTGAAATTTGCTTGTTTCCCTGGTTTGTGTCTCTTCAGATGCACTGCTAGTTTTGTTAATTCACCTATAATTAGGACATATTTAACGGTTCCAGTGTAAATTTGACCTCAAATTGTTCTACATTGTGCCAGAACTGCCAATGCTTTTAGATTCTATGTCAGTTCATTTGGGATATTTGCGATCGAGATGATGCCATACCGCATTAAATGTTTTTACCCTGTTTATTCATTACTGATTGCACAATTTCTTTTGTAGACTCCATTTGGAACAGTTCTGACGAAAAAGTTTCTTTGATAAAGATTGACTGTCAAGTTATGGATACAAAGATTTTCCAGATCTCGAAGCAAAACATCCCTAGATTCAATTTACCACTGAGCAGCTTCTTTCTGAAACAAACATGATCGATTTTTCAAAGAGAACGTATTTTCTTAAATTGTTTCATAGTATGGTAGTAACTTTAGATTAATATCAATTTAAGATATGTTATTGGAATCCCATCGCACTTTATGTCAGTTTGTTTTAAAGCTAAGAAGAGCTTCAGTTGATTGTTAAAGAGTTTTGTTCCTATTTGTTACATATTTCTTTGAAATTGTCAGTCTTCGATTTTTGCACTGTTTTAGTGAAATCTGTAATGTTGATGTTGTAGTTAAAGAGAATTCAATTACGTTACCTTGCTTTTTATCTCCTGTATCGACCCGAGGAGGTTATTCTTGGTGTCCTAGTAAACATTAAATATTTAGAATTTGGTTGTGTGTTGTGAATCATAAACAAAATATTAGACCTTCATCAGTGGCAGGCTTGGGGTAGGGTCTCACGATCTCAAATGATTGATCACAACTAAACAGTCATCATTTTAGCCTGAATAAATGACTTCCTCACACCGTTGTGCAAACGAAATCCTCCTCTGATGGCTGTGAACTTTCAATATATTAAACCTAGTGACCATATTGCAATCGAAGAGTTTTAATTCATGTTATCCCTTAATACACCTCAAGTTTTACGATTATATCATTTAAGCGTCGAATAAATGAGAAGCAACACGACTAAGAAAAATTTTTCTGGGGATTCCAGTAGCGTGAGCATATAGGTGCTGTGCTCGTATACTTTATTTTTGTTTTCATTTCATTAAATTGTTGATGGAAAGGTCTAAAGAATAGGTTAGTTTTGGGGTCCAATAGACAATGGAACTGCCATTATGAAACAGTTACGAGGCTTACTCTCGTTCTACTGCCCACGTGAGAAAGAAAATGGCGGATGCTATGTGGTCGACAAAAACACGATCGGTAAGTGCTGATGCACATTTTCTTATGTTTTTTTAATTAGGATTTTATTCTTTAATGATATGAAAGTAAGTCAATCCAAGATTCTTTGAGTGGATAACAGTTTATGATTGTTATCAGCGCGTGCCCAGTTCGTCAAAAATTTAAGGTGGTAAACAAGATTGTCATTGAATATTTTATTTTCCTTCAGGGTAACGGTTTGTCTCCTGAGCTTTCGAGTGGGGCCAAGAGAAAATGCCAGGCGGGTGCTTATAGTGAAATTGATAATGCTCCCACATCGTCCATTATTTCTCTGAAAAGATAAATGGGTCTATTTTTTGCCAAATATCTTGCTTATCGTCATCCTAGTTCTGATATCAATACCTTTTTTGACCATATGCAAGAAACTCTATCCAATATTGCCAAAGAAAATAAGATTGCCGTCATTATGGGTGACTTCAACATAAATTTACTCAATTTTGAAAATCACACACTCAAAAGTGAATTTATTAATACTATGTTTTCCAATCACATTCAGTCATTCATACTTCATCAACCAACCAGGGTAACGGAATCAACATCTACTCTCATTGATAACATTTTTTCTAATGCTTTATCTTGCAAGTTCATAAGTGCAGATATCCTAGTTCAAATTTCAGATCACTTTCCTCAGTTTTCTATTTTTAATAACTCTGCACCTATTTATGATAACTCTTCCTTTTTGGTTTATTAAAAAAACTTTGATGAATCCAGATTCCTTGATGATTATCAAAAAATTGATTTTGCATTTTTAAATGATGATGATTCTACTGCTAATTACAAATTCGATGAATTCCTAACTAACGTCAATCAGTTTGTTGATGAACATTGTCCAAAAAAGAAATTAAACAAAAAATCATTGAAACTAAGAAACAAACCGTGAATTAACTACCATATCCAATGCATGATAAGAATCAGAGACAGAATATTACAGCAGTTCAAACAAATTGAGTCCTCAGAAGTTTATGCCCATTATAAACTATTTCGTAATCTTGTTGTAAATGAGATAAGAAATAATAAAAAAACTTACTTTCAAAATTACTTGACAGAGAACAAATCAAATATGAAAATGCTCTCGAAGGGAATCAGAAGTGTGATGAAAATAAAATCAAATAATGAAGGAGCAATCCCATTCATAACTAATTATAATGGTAACAAGATAACTGATCATAGCACAATTGCTAACAACTTAAATGACTATTTTAGCAATGTTGCCAGCAAAATTACCAGTAAAATACCAAGATATCCTAATTCTCCTCTTAGATAGGTACCTAACTTCTTCCAATGAAAGCTCCTTCTTCATTTCTCATACTGTCCCTGATGAGGTTTCTTTGGTAATTCAGTCACTTAAAAAGAGTAAATCTATTGGGCCTAATAGTATTCCAATCTCTCTGCTATCGGTATTCAGTAAGATCTTTGAAAAGCTCATGCATAAATGTTTAGATAATTATATATAAAAAGCTCATGCAATATAAACTTAGCATTTGTAGTTAATAATTTTATATGTATAACCATTTACCCTGCAAGTTTGATCTTAATCAGTACTACCACACTGATTTTAGAGAGAAAGGTCACAGTCAACGAAATCGTGCTAAAACTATCCTTTTGATTTTTCTAAATTTACTTAGTTTAAACTCAAATAAATAAAGTTTAGTTTCAGCTCAAAGTACAAATAAATACAGCACATAATAATATAATACATTTGTAGACCTATATAGCTATAGAGGGATTTGATGGTGTTTGTAAATGTGGAAATAAGCATCCAATTGTCAAGGTTTTCAAAAATTAAGAGTGAACATTTATTCAGTTGCCAGAGTAAAGGGGTTCAGTTGCCATCATTATTCAAGGTATGTCAGAGAAAAAGGTTTCATTTTAATTTCAGGAGCAGGGGTGAGGGTCGTGTCTTGGGGCCATTGCACCTGCAGGTAGAAAATATTTAATTATCAATTATATATGAAAGTCAATCTTCCTTATAAGCATGAGAATAATGGCCACCTTTTCTTGCATGTAGTCACGAGTTCTCTTTTTTGTAGTTCTCTTGTTATGAGTTCTCTTAGAGTATCAAACAAAAGTTTATTAAAGTTTATGTTTGTCGGTCTGTCAGAAAGTGCTCAATCCCATACAGGCAGAGCTGTACATGCTATTTGATGCATAGAACAGAATGGTTCTGAGTTGCTACTCTGAGTTTCATGCTGAATGCATTCATCAGGCAACAATGACAGAGTTTAAACAATTTTATGCTGCTGTTGACAATTTGCTCCTTAATTTCTGAACAGCTTCTAAGATAGTAATTTTAGTCGCAACAAAATGATTAAATGTCAATTTACCTTAGGGAGTATTTGCAAGGTATTGATATTATAACTTTTCATCAAACTTTGAGAAAACACACAAAAATATAAAAGAATTTTAAACCTGGAGGTATCAAATTTCAAACTTTTAGAATGTCACCAAAATTCATACTTTGAATATTGGATTTACCCCCTTTATTGTTGTAACATTGAATGCCTCTTCCCTAGTGATGCATTATATACGATCAAAATGGTCAAGTCTTAAAGATCGAAATTAAAGACTAAGCAGGGAAACAATAGTCAACCTGTCTGCTTTTCCTTAGAAATTACCCTGTCAAATTATGGATAAAAAGTATTGTACTGGAAACAACTTTCCTTAGTATTCTTAAAATAACATGCTAAGAACATTATCATCAAATTAAACATCAGCAAAAATATTTTGCACAAATTCTGAAGGAACTTTAATTTCATCTTTCCACAGTTTTTTATTCTTAATAAATGAAGTTGCATCCTAAAAAGCAGCAAGAATGCCTCTCTTAAAATCATGACCAGATGTAATTATCAAGGCAAAGCTATGTCTAGCAATTTTGTGAGGCAAATATTGAGTACTTCTAACGTCATTTTGTACAAAGAACGTCAGAAATCCAAGCTTTTCTTTCAAAACCATACTTTGATTCTGTACAAGAAACAGAACTTTGGTCTACGAATTGATGCCTGATGTCTTCTCAAAAGTGTTTAAAATTTTAATGACGGTGTTGTCTTATCTTGTTGTCCTTATTTCTCCATTACCTATCAGAAAATGATGGATACACAATTGAGCAGAAGCAATTAAGTTAAGATTCATCATCAAGTCCATAGCCCAATTGGCTGTCGGTGCACCCATGAATTGACGTTCCTCCTCCACTCATTCCTGTTGCAAGTCATACGACAAAGATGTTGGGTGTCACATTCACTCCATTCCTTCATACTCTTCGTGGTCTGCCTCGTCTCCTTTACCTTCCACCATCCCCTGCAGGCGCGCAACTACGGGGGGGGGGGTCCTGGGGGTCCAGACCCCTGCCCTTTTTCTCAAAAGGGGAAAAGTGCCCTTCTTCTTGAAAAATTGCTTGAATATTTTGGTTATTACGCTAAAATGGTTGGTCATACAGTAAATAACACACTCTGGAGATGTAATGGACCTCGCAGAAATATAGATAAATGATTTAGTCAAACTTCCACGCACTTGTTGAGTCGAACGTCATCATGTTGCAGTAATAGAGTCTATCTTCAAGCCCCAACTCTACAGCGTATTTTATGATGCGCTACGCACTGGCTTTGAAGAAGAATGGCTCTGGGACTCAAAAACCAAAATAAAGGCATAAGATTTTGAACGGGATAGGGCCTTTACGACCACTAGTAAAAAAGTTACAAGAAAGAAACCAAGACATTTTTCAAGACTGTCACATAGTTGACAGGGTCATAGAAGACCTTTGCATAAAACGGCGATTGCAGAGAAATATTTGCGGACTGGTATTAGCAAGCAGTAAAGATGGTACAATAAGTTGATGTTCAGCTGTTCCGTTCCTTGTCAGTATTACAAATCAGCTGAAGGCAAGACTTGGAGACAGAAACCAGCTGAAGTCAAGGCTCTTGGAACTGTTCAACCTCCTCCCATCTGTAGTGCGAAGCAAAGAATTCAATAATAATATTTTAAAGAGCAAAATGTCTTCGGATATGGAAAATGATGGGCTGCTTTTCAAAAGTGAGCTGGCGCTGGGAAAAGGAGGTGGTAGTAGGGCCGCCGAGAGGGGGACAAAGGGGCAAATTGCCCTAAGGCCTCGAGGTCTAGGGGGCCTCATAAAGCAATGAATTCCGTTTTTAAATCGAATTTATTAAAAGTAACAAAATTACACTTAAAAATTAAAACATCTTAAACGAATTAATGAATTTAAGCTATTTGCAAGGGTGTGGTGGCAAAAATTTTTGCTCGCTTCGCTCGCATTGTTTTTCCGTTCTCCCACTCCCTCCGGCCTCCTAAACCTCTCGGCGGCACTGGATGGCAGACAAAAAGAAGTCATGTGCATAGTTACATTAAAAGGAAAAAATAAACCACACCTCACCAAAAAATAAACCGTACACCAAAACTTCTCTCTATTGATCAGTTTTCCTTGTCTGGCGTACAATATTTACAGATGAACTGCTCATTTTTTCGGCGTACCTAAACAAATGCCCCGATGGACCTTTAATAAAGTTTAATTTTTCTTAGTGCCCGTTTTGTGTCTTGGACCCCTGCCCTCTGAAATTTCTGGTTGCGCGCCTGCCCTGTATGGTGATTTTTTTGTAAACCATCTGCACGTTTGTGATGCTCAAAGAACTTTTCCTTCATTTTCCTTCCTTCAATTTTCCTTAGTTGTCTCACCATGTTTTTCGCCAGCCCTTCTCTTTAGCTCAACAATCTTCTATAATCTTCTTTATGTTTTCATTTCAAAGGCAGCTATTTTTTCGGTTGTTCTCCAATAATGTGCAAGATTCATATCAATATAGAAAAATTGATATGAACAGTGTCTGCATAAATTAGATTTTGTTATCCATTTTAATATCCTTTGTAATCCAGATCTTGTTTAATTTTATCAGTTTCACGTGATTTTCGTACCTAGGTAACAAAATCTCTTGACGTGTTCCAATTTGTTGTTCCCAATTCTCATGTTTATAGGTGTGTCGTCTTCACCTGTCGTCATGGTTTTGCTTTTTTTCTGTGTTAATTTCCATTCCGTATCGTTTCGAGGTTTTATCTAGTTTGGTAGTTATGATGCTTAACTCATTTTTTCTGCTGTCGGCCAAAAGGTCATCAGCAAAACGGTGATTGTTGATGATCACACCCAGTGGTGGAAATTCAGGCTTTCATCTGGGGGAGGGGGGGCAGGCCTACGATTATCCGACAAGATAACATCTTGTGTCATGTCTAATTTTAAGGAAACACATTTTGATGAAAATAGGTGATTTTTTGGCGGGACCCTTTAGAAATTTTTGCCATAATTAAGTAGCAAGAGACAATCCGTTTATGATTTTTGATACCAAGATCGATATCTCATCTAAGACAATTGATGATACAAGAGGTCGACCGATTACACTTTTGATAAGTAGTTCATGATAACAACATGATTGCAATTGCGATGTTCATTTTATGCATTTTATCTTGTTTTCGTCATTGGGAAATATGTTTGAAAATAACTTTTGTTTGGAAGAATCCAATGGAAAGTTCGGCTAATCTTTACGGAATTGACATTAAATATACAATTCACAGTATTGATTTTGGTCATATATTGTTTGATTGATTATTCAGTACTGGCTAATATTTTATCAGCTTTGCTATGTTCAAATTTTGCAAAAAGGGCACAGAGAGGTTATAGAGGCCCCTGGGCTAAAAGGGAAAATGCAGATCACCTGCGAGCGAAGCAAACAGAAAATTTGGCAATTACGCCCTTTAGATTAGCTTAAAATTCCTTTTCAGTACGATTTCTTGGAGTAATTTCGACACGTTAAGCGGTTGACAATTATCCGACGAAAGCCCGAATTTGCCTGAGCCCCCCCAAACCCCCATAATTTTCGCCACTGTTCACACCTCCACATTTGACACCGCCATTAAATTCGTCAAGAGCATCCATCATCACTCTTTCCACAAACAAGTTGAAGAGAATTGGAGAGAGAATACTCTCCTGTCTGACTCCAACTGTAGCAGTAAAAAATCCACTGTATTCGTTGCAACTTAAGATCAGGGATTTAAATAATCTTAGTAATTATTCTCGATCCAATCTACTTGCATACTCTATCCTCAAGATAATAAAAGGCTTCGCGTAAAGCAGGTACCCTTAAATACATTATGTCTAATATGAAGAAGTATGCTGTACCAGCTAATGCAAGTGTGTGATAATTACTTTTTTAGTAAAGGAACTCGGATAGAATGCCAACATTAATCATAAATTTAATTATCAATCTGCTATGACAGTACGATACGATTTACAATACTAATTGTACTTAACTCTGACTCCTGGAGCCACGACAGCCTAGTAGAATTTTTGCGAACACGCCCTTTTGTTTAGCTTAAAATGGATTTCAGAATATTTCTTGCAGTCATTTCTTGCGATCATTTAGAATGTTTTACTATTTTTAGGCATACTATTGCTACTTTTAGTTAATTCCATTCTTAAAATGGAATTCATTACTTTGCAAGCCCCCAACCCTTAAAATGATCTCGAGGCTTACTGACGTATAAAATTATATATAAAATGGGAAATACTGACGTATAAAATTGCTTTACTGCTAGTAAACTAGAAAAAGATAGTTTATCAGCTAGAAGATACCGTAAAATTTATCCATATGAATCCGATGGAGTTACCGGACCCTATAAAAATCCCCTCCCCTTTTCGAGTGAGGGGGCCTATTCGAGGGGCGCGAACTTCAAGAAATCAACAGAAAACTCAAACCTTTCTTGCAAAATGTAGAGACAAACAAGATCACAGCATCCGTTATTGGGTCCAGAACAAGTGAAAATTGTTTGGTTGTGCTTTGCCTATGTGGATCAACATCACAGAGAATGAAAGTCGTTATAGTTTTGCACAAGCAAGTAATAGCCACAAGAGAAGAGTGTCAACAGATGGGCAATACTGTGAAGAAATTTGAATGCAAGAAAAGATTTACATTCTCTGAATCAATTCAAAGTTTTTGTCTTAAATCATGGTATTCTCGGCTGTTTTTGCAGAAAAATTCTTGCTACACCAATTTAAAAAGCAAGAAGCAACTAGTTTTTCAGAGCTTTCTTAAAGGAGAGCTTATTTGGAACTTCTTCAAGTTTTGTGCGTTTCGATCCACCCTGTTTTGTCAGTTCTAATTGGTGCGTTTCGATCCACCCTTCATTGTCAGTTCTGATTGGTGCGTTTCGATCCACCCTGTTTTGTCAATTCTGATTGGTGCATTTCGATCCAACCTGTTTTGTCAGTTCTGATTGGTGCGTTTCGATCCACCTTATTTTGTCGGTTCTGATTGGTGCGTTTCGATCCACCCTGTTTTGTCAGTTCTAATTGGTGCGTTTCGATCCAACCTGTGTTGTCAGTTCTGATTGGTGCGTTTCGATCCACCTTATTTTGTCAGTTCTGATTGGTGCGTTTCGATCAACCTTATTTTGTCGGTTCTGATTGGTGCGTTTCGATCCACCCTGTTTTGTCAGTTCTGATTGGTGCGTTTCGATCCAAACTGTTTTGCCGGTTCTGAGTGATGCGTTTCGATCCACCTGTTTTTCTCGGTTCTTCTTAGTACGTTTTGATCTACCTATTTTTGCTTTTCTAACTGTTGTGTTTTGGGTTTCATTGGTTCGCTTCTGGTTCCGCTAGATCCGCTTGTTGTATCTTATTTGTCGGGTATGCTTGTCAAAACAATTTTTCGTTTTAAAAAGTTAACAAATGCTTGGAAATAAATAATCACTTCAAAACCATACACAAGTTTTTCTTAACATCTATCCTGTTTTAAAACCATACACTGTTTTAAACAACGACCTTATCTAAATATCTTTATGATATTTTGCCATTAATTAGGGATACTAGATCATATCTTCTTAGTCAGAAAATGAAAATGATTTTTCTATATTTCATTTACATGTTTTTCCTTTGTAAACAATTTTGTAGAAAAATTCTATCGCACCTGACAACGACAAGAAGAAGAAAAAAGATTTTGTTTACATCTATAATGTCAAATTCTAATTATTGTCCACTTACCTAGACTTTTGTGGCGATTCCCAAGACAAACAAGTAGACTCCTTGTCGAAGACGATAGATCGAGTTTTGATAAGGGACCAGTCATAATTAATGGCAGGGGGTGGGGTGGAAGATATTGATTAACGTCATTGTCGCTTGATTCAGAGCTGGAATCCGACAGCTGAGCTTTTTTCCCCAAAAGCATCATGGATTGTCAGCTGCTTCCCTTTTTCTCTTCTTTTAAGAGGTTTCCTTTCTTCCTTCTGCCGCACACACCATCTTTTGCAATTAATCTTACCTGGTCAGTCACCACACCCTTTCCTAGCAAAAACTCAAGGCCAGTGCTTCTTGTATATTTGTAGTTCTCTGTATATTTTGCTGCTCAGTGGACCAGGCCGTGCTGTTGCAATTTCGAATGAAGAATCTACCTGCTCAATTTCATCTTGACTTCTTCACTTTTTCTCCTGGAAGCATGGCACCAATTAACGATAAGCAGCTTCTCAGGTCACGTTCAACTATTCTTTTCCTGTTCTTTCTATTTTTCTCCTTTGCACGGAGTTTTGCTTGTCAAATTTCCTGCTGGGCACACTAGCTCCAGCTCTTTTTTCAGCATATCTAGGTTCAAGAGAACATTACCCGTAACTGTGATAAACTCCCCTTGCAATAATGCTGACCTTTTTATTAAGTTATCATGGAATGATAATTAATTTGCTTTTTATGTCTTTTTCAAAAAGTTTTGCTTTCAATGTTTTAATTTCTGTCATGAAGATCTCAATTGTTCTCAATACATTTTCAAGAACTCAAGATTATCTGGTCTTTCAAGGAATAGCTGGTATCTGGTCTTTCACTGAAAACTACCCATGATCCTCTGCATTTTCTTTTACGTTTGCGGGGGGGGGGGATCTATAGAAAATTATTCTTGGATTTATGGGGGCAACATTGTAACTGAATAAATTTGAGGGGGGCGGAAATAACTTCGCTTTTCCAAAAATATCTTCCGCCCCACCCCCACCATTGAAATTTATGAGGGTGGGGCAGAGAAGTGGTCCCAAAGCTTCTACAATAGATCGATGACAAAAGGGTCTATGTAAAAATCTTCTGAACTTGATTGTTGAAATATAGAGAAGCCTCATCCACAAGATATGAACAAGTGGCAAGCATAATGAGTAGGGATCCCTTGGAGCTTATCAAAAGGTTTCTTCACTTGGAATATAATTCAAATGCCCCAGACCCTCAGGATTCCAATAGAGATAAGCTCTTCAAGGTGAGAAAGCTGTTTGAAATGCTGAGGCAGAATTGCTTCAAAGTAAAGCCTGAAGACCAGAACTCTGTGGATGAACAGATGATTCCATTTAAGGAAGAAGCATTCTCCGCCGGTACTTGCCAAAAAACCCAAGAAATTGGGCTATAAAGTTTTTCAAGAAATCGAGTCAGTGGATTCTGCTATGATTTCATTCTAGATGGTGCGCTAGATCCTAGTAGAGAAGAATGTGATAGCATTGGTTTTGTGTCTGGAGATATTGTGTTAAGACTCTGCTCAGCCCTGCCAAGACAAATGCGCTACAAAGCCTATTTTGACAAATATTTTACATTTTTGGAATCATTACAGAAATTGAAAAGGTGGGGAATATGGGCTGTGGGAACGATGAGGCAAGATCACATTAGAGGATGTGAGCTAAAAGGAGAGAAGGAATTGAAAAAGGAGGGAAGAGGGGCCTTTGATGCTGCTGTTGACCTGAATTCAGGCCTTACAATAGTGAGATGGTTTGACAACCGACAAGTGCATGTTGCATTGAATTATGCATATAATGAGCCTGTTGAAGCAGTAAGAAGGTGGTCCAGCAAAGAAAAGAAGCACATTGATGTGACAAGGCAGGCGATTGTTTGGATCTACAAAGCTGGCATGTTTGGGGTAGATCTGTTCGATATGTTTATGGCATCATATCGCCTTCATCACAGAAGCAAGAAGGGTTATATGAGATTTTCTTTTGGATTCTTGCAACCAGTGTCACAAATGGTTGGTGCCTATAAAAGCGTCTCTGTGCACAGAATGGTATAAAGATCGAAGAAAATAAAGGATTTGCTAGAATTCACAAGTGATGTAGCACACTCGCTTTCAAGCAATTGCATACCAAAAAGACGGGGTAGAGACAGACCAAGCACAGACACACCTTTGGAGCATATAGCAAAAAAACCAAGAAAGGTACCGACAAGAAAGGCTCCAAATATAAACATTCGTTTTGACGGCATCGAGCACTGGCCAGAACACAGGTGCAACAGACCAAGATGCATGAATTGTGGGGAGAAGACAAGAGTTGGGTGCAGCAAATACAATTTAGGACTTAACCTCACAGCTGAAAGAAATTGTTTTAAAGAATTTCATGTTTAAAAAATGTGAAAATTTGTTAAGAAACAAGAAAGTGTTTGTGTTTTCAGTGTGTACTTCTGCAAAACCAGGTGCAACAAAAAGAGTTTGAATTGGGAATGATGGAGATAACATATGGGTCTCTTTGAGAGATATTTATCAGTGATCTCTAAGATGTGATCTTGCAAGATTTTTGTGGGGCTGCCCCCTAACACATTTTGGTCTGTGGCTGTCTATAGTAGATATTGCAAAGCTTTTATCTGCAGTACTTTCAAATTTTAGAATCTGTCTCAATCAGTCAAAAAACTATAAATGCATAAGTCATTGTTTCGGTTACCCTTGCCCCCCTAAAAGACATTAGATACTAGAAACGACAAGCATCTAGTCAAGTTGCCTCAAGTGAAAACAGAATTTGGACGCAAAGGTTTTTACTATCAGGCAGGAAAGGAATTTAATGACCTGCCACTAAGTGCCAGAAAGATTAAATCTAGAACTATTTCTAGACGATTTTTAGAAACTCATTTAATTTGATGTAAAATCATTTTATCTTTAGATTGGACTGTATTGAACTCTTGTAATCAGTTTTTAGATCTTTTACCATTAATTTATTAAGTATCAGGACCCTAATGATAACAGTATATATTGTACTGATAGGTTATCCTGTTAAAACATTCGATTATTATTATGGATTCAAAGGGCAATTGAATATAAAAAACACAACAAAAATAAACTTAAAACTACCGCTTGTGATTTTTTTGCTACTTTTGAAGATAAAAAAACTCCTTCCTTTATGTAGAATAATTTTTAGCAAAAGAAGCTGGCTCCAGTAATCTAAAGTTTCCTGTTTATGCTGCAATGGGCAGTAACTAAAACCTAGATGATCAACTCAATTGTCTTTAGCGGTAGCACCCCTGGAACAGCCTGCTTTAAACTTTGATAATCTTACCACCTTTTGTAGCGGCAAAAAGCTTGATAGTTCGAAAATCTAAGAAGTTCGAAATTGTACGGACAAAATTTTTTCTAGGATAATCATTATAATTGTATCAACATCTGTGCATGAGCATAAGTCAGATTTTCTTTTGATGTTATTGTTAATTTTTCCTTCCTTTCGAAGGTAGTTGGTGTTCGTTAGCTTTTATTTACACTTTTGTAAAAAAGCAACTGTAAATTATTTAATTAAAATGTAAATGAACTTTCTAAGTCTGCTTTCCACTGAATTTTTTCTTATTTTCTTATGAAAATAAAGAGATTCGATCAAATAAGGGAAATAATCAGAATTTTTGAATAGTAAAACGACCTAGACAAAAAATCATGTTACAAATCAAAATGAGAAACTTCTTCATAATAATTTTTCGTGAATTTTATTGATTTGCAAAAAACTAGCAAAAAATTATTCATGAAAAATTTTATTGTAATAAGTTCATTGTAAAAATACTTCTGCTTTAATAAAAGGGAGAAACGGGAAGAAAATTTTAAAAAAAAACCGGGAAGCCGAAAGAAAGCAAGCGAAACCCGGAGCCTCCCGGAAAAACCAAGAAAGTTAACAGGTCTTATGCTAGTTTAGGCACGATTTTAGGCCATGAGGGCTGTCTGATTATCTATGAAGTCTACAATTTGTTCGTTAGTAACCAAGGGAAAACAGCCATAAAACGACATTGGGATTTTCTTAAACGATCTCTAGGACACTCTATCCTTACCATCCGGCTAGCACCGCAATGCGAGCCAACTGTGCATGCAGATTGCAGCGTAAACTGTAAAGTTTCTTGCTCTCATTACAAGTAGTAATATGTGCATTATTTTTGTTAGGTTGACTACGAGTCGTCGTACCAAGAAGTAGAAGGGAAGACAGCAAAGGAATTCTTGAGCAGCAATTGTGTGCAAGCGATGAATACAAAGCCTACTTCACTGCAAAATCTGCTTAGTAACCAAAGTAGCGGTATTCGTTTTTGTTCAGCTTTGGCATATTTGAAAGCATAACTTGACACTTTTACAAACTAAAGAAAAACCCCAGATTGTTAGCCAGTTGTTGATTTCAGTGAGGTTAAAACATCCCACAAGAGGCAGCTTTATTTCAAACAGCATGGCTCTTGAAACAAAGCCAATTGAATAGACAATATAGAAATAGGCGTTTCTGACCATCCCTTAAGAACGCGCCCTTTTCAGTCCAGTTACAATGAACACAAGACTTATCCAGGTGACCGATTAGGCCCGGGTTAAAGGAGACAAGCTCCAAAAAGATCAGAGATCCAAAAAGTGACTTTAAGTTGACTTCCCATCGGTATTATTAGCGAGTGAGACCCTTGTAAAGGTTCGTTTAATAGCGCATTTTATGAGATTGGATGAGAGACTGGTAGCAAATGTTAATAGAAATATGTATAAAAGTTGTTTGAGTACTCTGTGACAATATATGATAGAGCGTACAACATTTTCGTTAAAGATCGGGGAATCTACATATTTTCAAAATGTGCTA